ATGTATCCCCTTTCTTCTTGATATGTTTGGCAGTGGCTCTTCCCACTACCGGTATTGAAAATTCTCCAGAGTTTTATATAGCTCTCTGCTTTTTTTGTCACAACTCAAAATAAATGACATCTTTCCAGAGAGACATTGCTTGCCAGTCCCCTCAAACAAAATCTTAGGTGCTGAATATGACCTCTCTTTATGTTAGTACTTTGAGGCTTTCTTTGTTTGTGAATTTGTTTGTTTGCTTAAAGAATAATGTTATTTATATTCCTGCATGTGTCCCACATCTGCTAGGATTCTCTGAGGGATCAGAGAACTATCTGCTCACTAGCTGTATCTGAGAAAATCTACTGAAACTATTTGAAACTGTTCCTCGATACAATGGGAAGTAATACTGTACATGTGAGAGTGTTTTTCTCATGGTAAAGAGAGGTAACACTTAAAAGTTCAAGAATTTACATGATGCATAAAATATTCAAAACTGCTGAATGAGGAAAGACTTAGGGAGAAGTTAGACTGTAGAAAGTTCAAAGGTATGAACTATGTTAGTTGCAACAGGGACAACGAGGCGTGAAAGCCACAGTCTGGAAAGAAAGCAGCATGACTCTCAGGTTAACGGAAGACCAAGGCAGCTGTGAAAGTTGCATTTTTACTACGTGTTTTCACAGGCACAACTGGACAATCAGCTGCAGGATCAGGCACCACAACAGTAGCATCCTCTGGAGTGACAGGAACAACGGGACCGTCACCTGGAGGGACAGGGAAAACTGAACCGTCATCTGAAGTATCTGGGACGAAGGGGACCATCGCAGGAGTGACAGGGACATCCAGACCGTCACCTGGGAAATCGGGAACAACTGAACCATCAGCTGAGGGGTCAGGGACGATGACGCCATCTTCTGAGCACCTAGGAACACCTGCACCAACAACTGGAGCGCCAGGAACAACTGTCCCATCAGGGAGAGTGTCCAGCGGTGGAGGGTCATCATCGGGAACAGTAGGAACCACTAGATCACATGTTGTAGGTTCAGAGACAACTGGACCTTCATCAAAGATAAGTGAAGCAGCAACTGGAACGCCAGGGGCACCTGGGTCATCGCCTGAACCATCATCGGCGACAGAACCATCAGCTGGAGGATCAGGGACAAGTGGATCAGCCTCTGGAGAATCAGAGACCCCAGGATCATCCACAGGACACTCAGGAACAACCGGAGCATCTGCTAGAGTTTCAGGAACAACTGAATCGTTACCTGCAAAATCAGGGACAACGCGACCATCAGGCCCAGGAACAGGAACAACTGGCCCAACAGCTGAAATGTCAGGAACCACTGGAGTAGCACGTGGAGGATCGGGGACCACTGTGTCAGCAGCTGGATTGCCAGGGACAAGTGTGTCAACTCCAGGTGGGTCAGGAGCATATGAGCCATCGACTGGAACACCAGGGGCCACAGGTCCATCTACTGGAGAACCGGGATCAAGAGGGACATCTTCCACAGGTTCGGAAACAACTGAATCATCTGAAAAATCAAGGACAACTAGACCATCAGGTCAGGGAAGAGGAACAAGTGGCCCAACAGGTGAAATGTCTGGAACCACTGGAGTAACAGCTGGAGGATCAGGGGCAACTGGTTCAGGAGCTGGATTGCCAGGGACGACAGGGTCACGTCAGGGAGGGTCCGGAACACATGGGCCACCTTCAACGGGGAGACCAGCGGCAACTAGAACATCTGTTGCGGGTTCAGCGACCACTGGCTCATTCAGGGGAACATCAGGGACATCAGCAACGTTAGCAGAAGAACTGGGGACAGCGCAAGCATCAACTGGAGTCCTGGGGACAACAGGGACATCAGTGGTGACAGTCAGTGAAGGAGGAAGAACAACGGGGAAGCCAGGAATAGAGATGACCGCATCTGGGGGTAAGTCAAGTCCGCTTAAAGCAGACCTTCCAGTAGAGCCAATATTAGTCTTTGTCTCAGGCTCAATTTTGAACGATACATATGAGTTTATCAGCATTGGACTTTGTACAGGAAACACTGTTGAATATGGCTGGGTGCTCTGTAGAACGTGATTGCTTCAAATTGATATTTTGTACTTCTTAATAATTTAATTTCTCACCCCTGCTACTTCTCTTTTTTGACCAGGAGCCTCCCGAGGGCCAGCGGGAACTACCAGAGGGCCCAGCAGGGGAAGCACAGCAGGAGCAGGAACCTCCGGGAGCGGAGCAGGCAAGGCCCCCTGGGCGATTCAGCACAAGCATGGCGGGTCCCCCAGTTACGGAGACGCGCTTCAGTTAGTTGCTCAGGACTGAAGTTTTGGAGAAATGATTAAATTACGTTCTAGCTTAATGAGTCATAGTGACATTTCAAATGCACTTGCGTGGAAATAAGTTTATTGTTCGTCCTAAACGGAACCACGGGGAAATAAAGATCGATTATTTCTTTCCCCAGGCACACCCGAAGAACCATATGGAGCAACCACTGAAGCAGGTGAAAGCACAATGAGATCAAGCACAGGTGGTAAATCGGAAGAATGGGAAGGGACGTTCCTGCGACATTGTCGCTCAAAGTGGGGTTTTCTGTTAAGTCTAATAATGGATATCTGTGTATTGTAAATATAAAAGGTAGAAAATCAGATCCAAGTCATGCGGCGTTTAGGTCCTTTCATGTTGTTACGTGCTTTCACACCAGTACTGAAAGTATAACGACCGGGTTCAAAGTAGCTACATTGATCCTGTCCAGGTAGGAGCCCCCCCACAATGAAAATACTGCTTGTGCCTTTCTACTTTTCATCCCAGGTTCCACGGGTGGCACTCCTGGCTCTACAGTTGCACCTGAAAGTTTCAGTGCCGGTAAGTAAACAGGGGAAGTGAGATGTACTTTTGACTTATTTTCATGCTCAGGGCCTAGGTAAAATGGTAAAATTAGTCGTCAAAAGACCAGTTGAATAATGAGAATGTCTTCAAACATATTACTCATTTTATCTAAGTGAATAAGCATTGTTCTCTATTTTACTCACGAGGAACTTAAAAAAGCCATTACCTAATTTGGTCCAGGATCTACAGCCAGTCCCACGGCGGAGCCCGTGTTGTGATCCGTCGTTTACCGACCGCAGACCCGTGTTCTTCAGCACAATGTCACCCTGCAAGGCAAACAGACAACGGTCTTTAAAGACCCGTTCCTAACATCTAAATCTTGCTTTTCTATGTACAAAAGAAAGTTTCCCCATTTCTACCTGTAATAACTGCAACAGCAGGTAATAAAAAGTGGGTTAAAATATTTTATGTGAGTGAAACCGGGGCATTGTTCTGAACCAGAAGACTTGGTGCATTTCACTTGACGAAACTGCAATTCTAGTGTTTAATTAATCAAGAATTATATCACTTCCTTCTTTTTACAATTATTCGAACCTGACGTACGTTTTATAAATACTTCCAGGGCAGTTTTTTCCCAGCAGTACATGGGCTAAATTATTTTTCCTAATGTTCAGTACAATATTATCTTTCTGCACTAGTAATGCCTCATGGTAGTTGTGGAAGACGTCCTTTTTCAGTTTGCAGGGTACCTAGTAGAATGTACACTTTGCTGACTAAATTTTCTACTACGTAATGAATCGGCTGCTTATAATCTTTTTCTGATAAAGAGTTATGCTCCATGTATTCTAACTATTGAAAACGCCCTTATGTGTATTCATTTTACACACTAGAGCCGCGAGAAGATACTTAATTCAAAAATTTGACTGAGACGAAATTCATAAGTATTCTTTATTCAATCAATTGTTATGTAAATGAAGTAGCATGCTGTATGTTATTTATGGAACACTGTAATTATATTATGAATTGATAGCATGGCTTCTAGGATATGTGGCCTGGGAGCACGGTATGTGTCCTATCCTCCTTTGGAGTTTGGATTTTCCAAATGAGAGATTTCAGTCTTTATTTAAGTGGATACGAATAAGAGTTACTATGTGTACAATTTCACTTGAGAAAAAGGAAAAGGTTTTTTTTTTGTTTGACAATATGTACCCCAGCATTGATTCCTTGCAAGGACACGTTACACTTTCTCTTTCAAGAGATCCCTCTTCCTGACTTGAATGTCTACGTAAACTTCTATGGAAATAACACTTCTGTTTTCAATGAAAAACTTTTATATATAGTGTCACTTGTAGCACTGACATAAATTTTTAAAAGGGAAATCAAGAACTATGTTATTTAATTGGACATAAAATTAATCGTTCCTGTTTTATGCCCATATAACAAAATTCAATGGTTATGTAAATGAATTCACATCTGTATATCATGTATATACCATAATTATATTATGAATTAATAGCATGGCTTCTAGGATATGTGATTATTAGGGCACAGTATGTGTTTTATGCATACATGGTTTTTTGGGTTTTCCCAAATTTGAGATTTTAGTGTTTAATTAAGTGAACCCAAACAAGAGTTACTGTGTGTACAAATTTTATTTGGGAGAAACAACGGTTTTTGTTTTCACTTGGATAACATGTACCTCAGCATTGATTCTGTGCGAGAACAGGTTACGCTTTCTCTTCCAGGATATCTCTCATCCTGACTTGAATGTCTAGGTGAACTTTATGGAAATACACTCCTGTTTTCAATTAAAAACTTCTATATATAATGGCAATTGTAGCATTGGTATAAATTTTTAAAATGAATTCAAGAATTATGTTATTTAATTGAAACATGAAATTAATCTTTCCTCTCTTAGGCCCACATAACAAAATTCCACCAGTATTAGCTGAAGGTAAGTCGAAATTAAAATGTCAAAAGTATATTTCTACACAATGTAGTTTGAAATAATATTTCATCTTTTCTACTTTTGCCATAGAAACACAATACGGACTGTGATTTTCTTCCAAAAAAATTTAATACGAATAAATCACTATAAATCATGATAAATTTATTTCTAACGAATATATATAATTTATATATTTAAATTATTCAATTTAAATAATAAATAACATGTTATTTACTATATAACACAATGGAAATTGCCTATAAAATTATATATTATGTTGTTATATTTTATTATATATTATATCATATATTATAACATATAACCTACGAAAACTAATATATATTATATATATATTTGTTTTTAATTTCCAGTCCCTTTGGAACAGCCTAAAGGAACAGGTAAGTAAATATAAGATTACAAATGTCCACTAAAGAAATTGTGTATCAGCAGCTAGAAGAGAAAATGTGGTAGCAGAAGTTATCGTTCATCAGCTTAATGAAACAGGAAGTTCGTACTGGATTTTGGTAGCTTAGGGCTTTTTCTTTTTTTGTCCTTATGCCTTCTGAAATCCTAACAAAAGTGTACTGGTTTCCATACATAAGACTTACATTTTACGTTGGTTGTGTACAAACATACCCAAGCAAATGAATAAATAAGTCTAGAAATATCCCCGTCATAAAAAAAGACAGTACCGTATTTCTCAGAATGTTTTTTATCATCACCTATCATTTTCCTGAAATTCTTTAGCTTTTTTCATTTGATGTCTTCTTTAAAATGGAAGAGATTTAAAAGGCAGGCAAACAAGTGTGTTCTATAGAACATTTCACTTTTTCTTGATTGTTTTCTGCACTCTTTTAGCATTTACATTCAAATAGAAATTCCAAGTGGCAGGTATTTTTGTCCGATTTTGTTCACTGATATCAAAACCCTTTCTGGTCCTAGTGCAATGAGGTGTTTGATTTCGATACTCGTCCTCCTGATCCACTAGGTCCTACCTTTGTTGAATGGGGACCATTCAACACCATCACTCAGTGCATAAACCGGAGAGCTCAGATATCTGTTAAAACAAATGGCAGGGGAGAGTAATGCAGTGAAAAATGGAGAAAGGGATATTGAACAACAGCAATTTTTTTTTAAAAGGTACTTCCAACACAGGTTGAGTGTAAATGATACGGAAACCTTCGACATGGACATGATGGAAATGATTTTTTGTAGACTTCCTGAAGGAAAAGCAATGCAGACACCTCTTCCCAGAATCCCAAACTCCCAGAACTTGCTCTTCCCCTGTTTTCTCCCTCAGAGGCCACGACTTGCAGAGAAGGTGCAGGCACCCGTGCAGGGGGATACAAGCAGTGTGTGCCTTCTGTTAACCACTAATAATGGTGCCCGTAGGAGAGGCGACAGAGAGGAAATGTTTCTGGGGAGAAGTTCGTATTTCCTTTACTGACACTACATTTGGGCGAATGAATTATTATGAGTTTTGAAATTTCGTCCTGCTAAACTACTCATAACAGAGGTCGGAATTATGGCTGTAACCTTCAACATAGCACGATTGTCCCAAGAGTTCTAAGTGATTTCTCCTGTGAAATTACAAATCGTGTAAGAAAGGAGAGGCCTTTCTATCCCTGACCATGCCAGAAGAGCTCCATAAACCCTGGGAACACGTCTGCCCAGTAGAGACGTAGGCATTTTACAGCAAAGCAAGCAAGAGCGCAGTATTGTCCCAGTGTCTGGGGTTTTCGGAGCACTCATTCCTTCCTTCTGCTTCCAACCCACAGCAGGTACCACTGTAGCAATGGAAAGTGAAGTCACTGGGAGGAAAACAGGTGAGTGTGGAGGACACCCAACGAGTTTACCAGAATAGAGTGATGCCTGGAAGGTGGTCTCACGTAGAGCACACAGTCGCGCTGCAAATTTTAGTAATAAAGCGGTTAATGAGGAAAAACACAGTGCTCATCATCCAAGGAGAGTTGGACAGTGAGCCGGTCATAAGAAATGAAAATGTGCTTAGGTATTTTTCAGGTGCCTGGTTTAGAAAAGAAACGTGGCCGTGCGGTGACCGTAATCCCTTTTGTGTTTCAGGCACCACGGGCGTAGCCCCTGGCACAACTGTTGCCCCAGGAAGTTCCAAAACAGGTGAGGCAACAAGTTGAAACAGACTCTTGTGCATCTCCTCTCAGAAATCAGATGTCTCCTCTGGGATTATGCATTACAGGGGCACCACCCTATCTTTTCCACGTTCTGAAATATTCTCCAGTCACCTCTTTCCTCATTGTCTCTCTCCCTCAGAGGCCACGACGTCCCTTGGGGAAAGCAAAGCAACTGGAATTGGGATAGCGACAGGTGAGTATCACATACTGATACCTGTACCTCATATAACAGCAAATAAACACACACACAAACACACACACACTCTCTCTCTCTTTCTCTCTCTCTCTCTGTCTCTCTTTCTCTCAAGGTCTTACACTGGAGTCTTTATTCCCAGAGCACACAATTGCCTTTATTATTCCACCTTGAAGACAAAATAATGACACAGATATAGCAATGTGGAGAGAAAATTCTCCTGTCCTCCAAAGTAAGAGACGTGATGGTAAACAATTCCAAAGGAGTTATAGAAATATTTTCATGTGAGAGCTTAAGGATGAATGAAGAAACTAAAAGTTGAATCTTGGTGTTACATGGAGACTTTAGGATCCTATTTAAAATAGGTTGTTAGAAGTAATTGAATTAGTGACAACTGCCCCTTTCCTGTAGGTACTACTAATATAATCCCTGGTAAAACTCTGGAGCCTGGATCTCACAACACAGGTAAGTCTGAAAATACAGCACAAACTAGGCTTTATCTTCTTAGATAATATATTACATCAACATATAGTGTGAATTTCCCACTCCCTGGTCCTTACTGTTTCCCTTTTTTTCCTTTATCAGAAGCCACAACTTCCATGGGAGGAACGGCGAGTACCCAAGCAGGACTTCCAGGAGGTGAGATAATTAAGTCTGAGACTTCTTCTTCTCCTTTGAATAGACTCTCTCTTCGTGTGGCTAAGGGGAAACCATAGTGGGAAAATTACAGGGAACTATGCCCTCCGTCCTTCTTGGAACAGAATATGCCAAATCACAAAACCAAGTCGCCCTAGGAATTCTCTGGCCGCACATGACTCTGTCATTGTTTTCAGAGGCTGCAGCTTGCAAAGGAAGTGTTTGGGTATAGGGACAAGGCCCACGTACAGGCAAGCACCTGCCTACCATGGGCCCCTTTGTTATATATGCTTTCTCGTGGCAGTCATTAAAAAATATCAAATTGACGTATTTGGCCCATATATTGTTCACTGCTGGTGTCCAGCTGCCAGAATATAGCCACATAGGGGAGAAATCTTTGAATATTCTGTTCACTGATGCATGCAAAGACCTAAAATAATAATGTAAGGAGACCTGCTTAATAAGTTGCAGTGGAATGAAGAACTGTGTACTTAGGTTGAAGCTTTGCTGTCCTTGCATTAACAGGCACCACCGTGGTTTCACCTGGAGGCAGCAGCAGCTCCCAGAATTCCAGGCCAGTTAGGATGCAGTACCTTCAGGGCCGTTAAGTTCAGAGCAGAGCACGCAGCCAAGTCTGAGCACCTGGTTTCAGGCAACACTGCTCAGAACAACATTTTACAAAATAAAGACCACTGACTTACGTGTAATATCACTTATAGATGTTCTTTGTATGTTATAAAGTCTAGATTCTTTAGTTTTTTTCACAACTATCATGTTGATGCCATATAGCATATCGCGTTGTTAGAATGATACACTTATTGCCAGGATTGTTGTATTATTTAGGAGCATGCGTTTGTTTCTCCTTTACATCATCAGGTACCACGGGAGCATCAGCGAGTGCTACCACGGGAGCCAAAAAGAAAATTACAGGTGGCACGGACTTCAGAGAAGGTGAGATAAAGAAATGAGTCAAATGCTATACCTCCCATAGCTTCTTCTCACAGGCTGTCCTCTGTTGAAGTGAGGAAGCACGATACCCTGAGTATGGCATTAGATATCGGGGGTCCAGTGTCTGCATCAAGTGATCTGGCTATTTAAGAAAATATTCAAAATTAGTCTTTATGCATTAATAAAATATTAGTCACATATTTCTTCGGTATATTAAATTCTGAATTATGCTCAAATATATAATGTAGTTTAATCCACATGAAAACCATATAAGAAAGTCAATATTTTCCCATTAAAAAGAAAATAATAAAAGGTCTCAAGGTTCACAGAAGTGGGATTAGAACACAGAATCTTTAGCCTTCTCTTTAATCATTTCATTGTTCCTGACTCTATGCATAAGGGCATGTATCCAAAAAATAAAAACAAAACAAAACAAAAACCCAAAATGCCAAAGCAAAATGAGGATATGCTTCCCATTGTACCATGGCGGCTAAATTTCAGCTACTGTTAGTTTCATGAATGAAATATATTTCTTATACCTTAAGCAGAGTTAATTTTGATTAAAACAAACAAGACGTGGTTCACCCCTCCCCCTTATGAAGTCAGTTAGCGTGCATACCTCTTGCATTTTCTGCTCTGCATCACATTTGCTCTGCTGGAGCTCCCATGTTAGACATTTCCCATCTGGTGTCTGCAGTGACTCGCCAGACTCCCCTCACCTGCACACAGCGATGTCCAAGTGAGCTTTCCAGACCAAGAGCATCAGCATCTCCTGAGAACATTTTAGTAATGCAACTTTTGAAGTCTGCCTCTCTAGAATCAGAAGCACTTCAGAGTGGAATGCAGCACAAAGTATTCCTTAAGAAGCCCGTTAAGTAGTTGGTGCTTATGAATGTTGAGGAAATTTCCATTCTCTACTTCCCTCCCAATTTACACTTTAGTCAATACCATGGACCAGAATGGAAGGGATTCTGAACACTCTGCTCTCATCATGTGATTCCAGTACTTGAAAGCCTTCAATTGTTCTGATTGCTTTAAGGATAAATAAAAATTCCCTTACATCCCATAAAATTCACGTCTTTAGAGTATGCATGGGGCTTCTCTTTATGCCTTTATTAACATATTCATGGTCTGATTTTATTAACTAATGTATGGTCTGATTTTGCCCTATACATTTATTTTCCTTTAGTTGTTTTCTTGATTTAAAATTTATGTCATATATTGTTAGAACAAAATATATTTACATAAAAATAATGAATTAAAAGTAGGATCTACAGCAACACAAATCAAGAAACTGGTAATTCCCTGAGAGCAATGAACCGACTGAAACTTCAGGGTCATGACTGTGTGGTCTATATTCCCTAAAATTTGAATGAGAATTATTTAGGTAATAATGACAAGACAATAAGGCTTTTTTCTTTTGGTTCCCAGGCAGTAAGTGCACTCATCTTACACAGGGCTACTGAATGGCTGGTCCACCAATGAGTGCCGTGGAAATGAGTTTCCCCTGGTCCATGGTGTGATAAGAATTTAAGCAGAGAACACGCATTCAGAAAGGGCACATTTACCCCCATATTTTATATCTGTTAAATAAAAGTGTATGTTTGCGATGCTTATATTTTAAATAAATTTATTTCTCTACTTTATGGCATTTCCCCAAAGCATCAATAAGGGCATATTGAAATGCTTACAGCATTGCTCTCTTACTAATGGATCATTTGAGAAGCAAAGGTGCAAGTCCAAGCTCTGGAGTCGTCGGCCTGGGTGTGGCTCCTGCACGTGCTGCTGACCACCTGAGGGAGCTGGAGATGGCGGTCCCCCGCGTGTGTCACATGGAAGAAGAATATTACCTGCCTCAGAGGACTGTCATAAAATTAAATGAGTAGATCCAAGTCTAGGGCATTTTTTTAAACTACCGTATGTATTTTTTCAGCTGGATCAGGGGCCCCGACTGCACCCACAATAGGACGTGAGGAAGAGACCTCAGCCAGCAAACCAAGCCCAGGAGCGACAAGCCCAGGAAAATCAGGCAAGGCAGGATGGACACCTCAGCGCCTACTCAGTGGCACTGAACATGTGACAGGTTGAACTAAGGATTAAGCTGTGGGTGATTTTAGACCATCAAGGTGCAGAAATCTTAGGCTCCATTTTAAGATTGCTTTTGCGTAGGAAACCTCGGTTATTGTGTCCTAATAGAGGAGCGACGGCAGAACCCTGCAGCTCTCGTAGGAGTGGCCCTTCCCTGCCGTTATGTCAGGGACCTCAGAGAAAGAGAGAAACACAGGGGCTGGGAGGAAAGGCCCAGGAGACTCGCCGGCCCCAGGGGCACCCTAGGGAGCCCGAGCAGCTGTGGGCACAGGGGTCTGGAGCATCTTCTTGCTGACCTCAGGGAGGTCAAAACCAAGTTGTTAGTTATTGGTAAAGGCACATATTCGTGACTGCACCTTCCCGGCCCTTATGGGCTTACCTGTGGTGGATCTCTCACATATGCTCAGAGGTGGCTTAGAGCAAAGCATATTGTATTTTGGATTCCAAAAATCTTACCTGATAAATTCCTAGGCTCTGAGGTGGGGTTCCGGATGTGGTGTGCAAATGGATGTGACCAAAAAGTGTAAACTGCTTTGAAAGAAGAGAACAGTAAAATTTGTTCTGTTTACAAACATCATGATATATGCTTGTTGGTTATTTTCAAAGGGACTACAGGACCCTCAGCTGGTGAACTGACTAGAGCAGCAGTCAGTGAAGTGACTTTCTGGGTGGTCCATCATGAGTGTAGCTGAGACCCCAGGTCTTTTGAGGAGTTTAAGGGAATTTAGTAATGGCTATTACTTTAATGGTTCTCATTTTAGGATAATAACTATCAGTAGTGGGAACAATTTCAGTACAACCACCAGTGTATGCTAGAATTGCCAGATAAGATAAAGAATGCCATTTAACTTCTAAATATCAGATAAAAAAGGAACAGTTTTTTAGTATAAATATGTCTTACATGGTAATTAGGGCATGGTAATCAGGGACTGTAGCATCAGGGACTGAAATAACACAATCCGAATAAATTTGGACAGTGGAAATGTGATTTTTTAACTCAAAATTTTGTCAGAGACAAGGCTTCCCGTGGAGTTTAATTGTTATGATTTGTGTAATGTTAATGCTGAAGATCAGAAAAAAATGAAGAGCTATTTTGTGTGTCACATTGTACTGGGTGCTCTTGAGAAAACAGGAGCAGAGTAGATTAAGGTACTTGTTGTTTTAGAACTTGATTTTTGAGCAAGGAACATGTGTATTTAAATACACGCAAGGCAAAAGCCATGCAAGGCAGAAGATAATCAATGTGAAGACAATGTTCATTGACAAGTGCTGGAATGGGAACTCAAGAGAAAATTCAATAAGAGAACTGATTAGCTGGGGTTAAAAATAACAGAATTATTCTAATTTGGGAAGAATATGGTATTATGATAGAGTATCATGACTATATCAATATGGGTTAACTGACACAAAAACTGATAAGCAAGGTGTGTGAAATTTTCTGGATATACTCAATTTCAGGGGAACTAAAAACAGTCATAATTCAAGTGCTGGGGAAATAGAATTGAAAACAAAGTCTCCCAATCCAGAAACCCTGTCCACAGAGAAAACCGTTTTATTATTGAATAAGCATTAAAGTAGAATGTGATGCAAATCACAGGCAATTTGCTAAGTGACTTTAAAGGCAGAAAGAACTCTTACTCAGCAGGCACGACCCATAACATATATGTTCTGAAAAAAAAATAACATTAGTCCTCAAGCAACAGGACTTCACAGTGCCATTCCACGTAGTTCATTCTAAACTCACCTGGTTATGCGGTGCCATCTAGTTAGTTCAATCATTTCCTGCAAAGGAAAAACAACTGCCCTATCTTGATGGAAGGAGGAAGTTTTATAACTAGAAGAAGGGAGGGGAAACCTTTCCCTTAACATTTACATTACAAGAGATAGTGCCCAAGTTCTTAAGAAAGACACCCGTTGGTCATTATGATGGCAAGAGGCCTAGACATTTTTTAAAAGATTTAACAACATTCCGAAGTCACAGAGAAAGATCTCAAAATTATAAATTTTCTAAATTAAATTCTCTAATGAAAGGAAGAGGGAAGTCTCTCTTTCAACAGAGACAAGACTCTCATTTAAAATGATTTTTCTTGCACAAGCCATCCTCATCAAATGATCCATTTTGTATTTTAATTAGCTTCCTTTTTTGCATGTATTATATAATGAATCCATGCTGGGGTAACACCTGGAGCTGGAGGTAGCAGCACCCCTGGGGGACCACCGGTCCCACAAGTTCTGGGAAGTCAGACAAGTCCAAACCTAATTTTTCAGCTGTTCCCAACCATAGCTCCCTTAATATGTACTGACGCTCTTAGATTTGAGAGGAATTTAAACTCAAAAAACCAACACAAAGTGAAAAAAAAGTCAGAGAAATGGTGGCTGCATGTGTCACAATCTACACATACCTCTTACACACCCTGAATATCATACGGGTATAGATCTCATACCTGTAAATTGGAGAAATGGCAGAGAAGAACAGTACTCTAAAAACCAGGAAAGGTGGCTCTGAGGGGAGGTGAGATTTGGGGATTAGTTTGTATCAAATCCCTGTTTGTGTAGCTAGAGTGAACACATGGGTGGCAAGGAAGGCTGAGGAAATGAGCCTCCATTTCTTCTGGGGACACATTATGCCAGAGTCACAAACTCGGGTTGATGTAAAAATTCCGTGAACACGCATGTCTCCGTGATCACTTCCAGAAGCCCAGGCTTACAGAGCTGGTTGCTGGGTGTCAGGGATGAGACCCAACGGGGGGCCTGGAACGGACTGCCAAGACCTCACTCCTCATGTATGGTGTGCAATTTTCCCATTGATACTTAAAATGTTTATAGTTCACTGCTGAATGCAATCTAGCAGCATGTAGACATATTACAGTATGAATCTACAAATACTCTGCTCCCTTATGGATCCAAAGATTAAAACGTGTATATCACAAAACACGTTGTAAATATTTGTGGTATCATTAAAAGTGTGTCTAATTTGAGTTTCATTGAATTTGTGTGCTTATTTTTCTAATTGTTAGGGACTACACAAAAAACTGCTACAATAACCGCTAGACTTGGGAGTTCCCGCACTGGTAGGTTAACGAGAAGAAACCGCCATAGTTACACTCCCAGTATAGTTCGTAGACGTGCTCTGATGAAATACCAACGCAGTTCTCCCCTGGTGTCTGAGACCCTCGTTTCTCACCGTTCGTTCACCATTGTCTTCTTCCAGAGGCCACGACGTTCACGGGAGGTAGCGGCGCCCCTGGAACTGGACCCAGACCCGGTGAGAAAGGGTCCTTGCCGTGTGGGGTTTGCCGTTAATGACGGCTCTTCTTAGCGCCGCCCGCCTGCGGGGGAGGTGCGCTTTCCTGCAGAGTGGTTTGCCTTGGCTCCCGGTTTTCCGTAGACGTAGCATCTTGTGGAAAACTCGGGATCCTGGCTTCTAGTCTCGCAACTGGAACTTTGGGAAGGGGGGGGCCGGTGGTGAAGTCAGTATGGGCGCCTCACGCTGCGATGGCATACACGTCGCGACGGTGCCGGGGCAGCTGAGAAAAAGGCACCTGGGGAGGAGACAGACAACGTGAACCCGTAAATAGGCCAGTCTGACGCAAAGGCGTTGTTGCTGAAAAGGGCCAAAATCGTATCCCGTATCTTGCTGGCACATTCAAATATTTCCCTGGTTTTCCTCCCACAGAAACCACTGTCGCACCACAAGGCCCAGCAACTGGGAGTATGACAGGTGATCCTGGGGGGGAAGCAGGCTCTTTGTCCACATCTGAATGAATGGCATTTGGGAGGGCGTCTCATGCTGGGAACAGTACGGATGCGGTTGGTCTCGCAATTACGTGGGTCCCGGAAAAGGCATAGGTCCTTCATTCATCATGGAGTCGCGAGAGGGGGCTTTGATGGCACCTCGAAGTCCCTAGAGTCCTTCTGAGGCAGTCCTTCGGCGGACAAGCTCGAGTCACGTTGGACATCTCGGACCCCTTCTGTTTCAGGCACCACTGGGGTAGCCCCAGGCACAGCTGTTGGCCCTGGCACCTCCAACACAGGTGAGTCAACAGGCTGACAGAGAAGTTCCTCATGTCCTTTGTGAACGTAGACGTCTCCAATGTCTCTAGGTTCTTTAGTGAGTCCACCATGTACTACCATCATCCTTAAATATTCTCCACTTACTTCTTCTCCACATTCTCTCCCTCAGAGGCCACAGCGCCCAGAGGAGAAAGTGGAACGACCCGAGTTGCAATAGACACAAGTGAGGGCTCCTCCTTAATAATACCTGCAGGTCATGATAGCTGCTTTAAGAAATCTTCTAAAAATATATCTACACTATTTATGTCCATCATATGGAGCAAACCCAGATTTTAGAAAAGGCGAGCCAAAATGCACAAGGGCGCCTTACGGTCTAAAACCTCAAGCGTCTTCACTAGGGCATCGTAGAGTCAAACGAATGACGGACGAACAGTAACGTAGAGAGAAACTTTTTTGATTCCCCCCCCCCCCCCCATAAAGAGATGCGAGAGTCGAGAGCTCGGGAAAGCAGTTCTAGAAATAGATGTTACAGGGGGCGCGTGGGGAGAACCTCTTGGTCCTAAAACTCCCAGGGATATAGTTGGCTGCTTTGTGGAGACTTGAGCTTTCCGTTGGAGTCACGTAGTAGAAACGCAACGGTGTTAGGAACGACTGACCTTTTCTTGTTGTCGGCACGGCAGGTATAGTCTCCGGACGAACTGCGCCCCCTGAAATTTATATCACGGGTAAGTCCGAAAATACATGTAGAAGCTGCACACTGGTATCTTAGATGGCACATTCTGACGATAGTACAAGATGGACTTTCCCACCACGCAGTCTTCACCCTTCCCTTCTTTTGTCTCTCAGAGGCCACAACTTCCATTGGAGGAGGCGGGACCACGCAAGCAGGACTTCCAGGAGGTGAGTTATTTTCATCAACCGAGTCTTCGGGGTTCCCCCCGCCCCGCCCAATCCCTGTTTGTATGGCCAGAGTGAACACGTGAGTGGGAAGGTGGGCGAAGGAGAGGGACCTGCCCTTCCTCAGGGAACACAGCACGCAGAGTCACACACCTGGGTCCGCCGACAGACGCCATGTTCCCCCGTTTCCCCATGCAAATTGGCAAGGCCCAGGCCGAAGAGGTAGTTGCTCGATGGCAGCTACGAGGCCCCCCTGTGGTCCTACCCATGCTTATGAAGGCCCCACACTCCACGTGTGGCTTGAACACTTTTCCCATAGCTTTCGCCAATATCGAGTATCATATTTTGCCATGAATAGTGTGCACATTTCTGTCCACATTTTTGAGGGAAAGGTAAGGGTGCGCATTATCCATGGGTGGTACCTGAAATACCTTGTATCTCTTCTTGTGTTTTGAAATGATGGGTTACGTGAAATTTCGTGTACCGTAATGTGTGCAAAAATAAATGCTAAAACTCCTTTACAATAGGAAAGAAACCCAAGTATCTAAAGATACAGAAACAGATTTTTGAATTAAAAATTCAAACGCCAAGTTCTTTCCCCCCGAAAGTTCGAGCCAGCAACATGGCAAAACACGTGGCTTTGACTTCCCTGTCGTGTTCATTGTTCACTGCTGGTCTCCACCTGCGTGAACGTGGCCACGTTTGAGGAAGAATCTTTGCGTATGCTGCTCAGTGATACACTGAAAGGCCTAAAACAAACTTGCACCGAAGATTTGCTTGGTGACATCAGTGGAATTACGTGGCATGTGCTTCTGTTGAAGCTTCGCTCTCCCTGTCTTACCAGGGACCACGAGGCTTTCACCCGGAGCCAGCAGCGGCTCACAGAGTTCCAAGCCAGGTAGGACATGAGGGAGCATTAGAGTCACACAGTTCTACCTTCAACACAGGAATGTCAAAATATCTCAAGGAATTGATGAGTGCCATTTAGAGAGAGAAATCCATCATCTGCCTGTTTTCTCTTGTAGGCACCTCTGTCGCACCGGGGAGTCCAGCGACTGGAAGTGCAACAGGTGAGGGTGACACAAGGTCTGCGTTCCCTTGCAGTGGCCCCTGGGGGGAAGGAACTCCTTTAGCAGCAATGATCAAAAGGGGGGCCCGGAGAGGAAACAGTGGGAAGTACTTGAGAGTTCATTCCTTAGGGTAACGCAGGCCTCAGGAAATTATTGGTTTCAGTCGTTCAAGTGTACGTAGTCCCTTCAGTTTGAAGGGGGAGCTGACGGTGTGTTGATGCCTTTACCGTTCTCATTGTTAGGTGCTACACGGGGACACTCTGGGACAACCATTCGACCTGGGAGTTCCCGCACTGGTAGGTTAACGAGAAGAAACCGCCATAGTTACACTCCCAGTATAGTTCGTAGACGTGCTCTGAAGAAATACCAACGCAGTTCTCCCCTGGTGTCTGAGACCCTCGTTTCTCACCGTTCGTTCACCATTGTCTTCTTCCAGAGGCCACGACGTTCACGGGAGGTAGCGGCGCCCCTGGAACTGGACCCAGACCCGGTGAGAAAGGGTCCTTGCCGTGTGGGGTTTGCCGTTAATGACGGCTCTTCTTAGCGCCGCCCGCCTGCGGGGGAGGTGCGCTTTCCTGCAGAGTGGTTTGCCTTGGCTCCCGGTTTTCCGTAGACGTAGCATCTTGTGGAAAACTCGGGATCCTGGCTTCTAGTCTCGCAACTGGAACTTTGGGAAGGGGGGGCCGGTGGTGAAGTCAGTATGAGCGCCTCACGCTGCGATGGCATACACGTCGCGACGGTGCCGGGGCAGCTGAGAAAAAGGCACCTGGGGAGGAGACAGACAACGTGAACCCGTAAATAGGCCAGTCTGACGCAAAGGCGTTGTTGCTGAAAAGGGCCAAAATCGTATCCCGTATCTTGCTGGCACATTCAAATATTTCCCTGGTTTTCCTCCCACAGAAACCACTGTCGCACCACAAGGCCCAGCAACTGGGAGTATGACAGGTGATCCTGGGGGGGAAGCAGGCTCTTTGTCCACATCTGAATGAATGGCATTCGGGAGGGCGTCTCATGCTGGGAACAGTACGGATGCGGTTGGTCTCGCAATTACGTGGGTCCCGGAAAAGGCATAGGTCCTTCATTCATCATGGAGTCGCGAGAGGGGGCTTTGATGGCACCTCGAAGTCCCTAGAGTCCTTCTGAGGCAGTCCTTCGGCGGACAAGCTCGAGTCACGTTGGACATCTCGGACCCCTTCTGTTTCAGGCACCACTGGGGTAGCCCCAGGCACAGCTGTTGGCCCTGGCACCTCCAACACAGGTGAGTCAACAGGCTGACAGAGAAGTTCCTCATGTCCTTTGTGAACGTAGACGTCTCCAATGTCTCTAGGTTCTTTAGTGAGTCCACCATGTACTACCATCATCCTTAAATATTCTCCACTTACTTCTTCTCCACATTCTCTCCCTCAGAGGCCACAGCGCCCAGAGGAGAAAGTGGAACGACCCGAGTTGCAATAGACACAAGTGAGGGCTCCTCCTTAATAATACCTGCAGGTCATGATAGCTGCTTTAAGAAATCTTCTAAAAATATATCTACACTATTTATGTCCATCATATGGAGCAAACCCAGATTTTAGAAAAGGCGAGCCAAAATGCACAAGGGCGCCTTACGGTCTAAAACCTCAAGCGTCTTCACTAGGGCATCGTAGAGTCAAACGAATGACGGACGAACAGTAACGTAGAGAGAAACTTTTTTGATTCCCCCCCCCCCCCCCATAAAGAGATGCGAGAGTCGAGAGCTCGGGAAAGCAGTTCTAGAAATAGATGTTACAGGGGGCGCGTGGGGAGAACCTCTTGGTCCTAAAACTCCCAGGGATATAGTTGGCTGCTTTGTGGAGACTTGAGCTTTCCGTTGGAGTCACGTAGTAGAAACGCAACGGTGTTAGGAACGACTGACCTTTTCTTGTTGTCGGCACGGCAGGTATAGTCTCCGGACGAACTGCGCCCCCTGAAATTTATATCACGGGTAAGTCCGAAAATACATGTAGAAGCTGCACACTGGTATCTTAGATGGCACATTCTGACGATAGTACAAGATGGACTTTCCCACCACGCAGTCTTCACCCTTCCCTTCTTTTGTCTCTCAGAGGCCACAACTTCCATTGGAGGAGGCGGGACCACGCAAGCAGGACTTCCAGGAGGTGAGTTATTTTCATCAACCGAGTCTTCGGGGTTCCCCCGCCCCGCCCAATCCCTGTTTGTATGGCCAGAGTGAACACGTGAGTGGGAAGGTGGGCGAAGGAGAGGGACCTGCCCTTCCTCAGGGAACACAGCACGCAGAGTCACACACCTGGGTCCGCCGACAGACGCCATGTTCCCCCGTTTCCCCATGCAAATTGGCAAGGCCCAGGCCGAAGAGGTAGTTGCTCGATGGCAGCTACGAGGCCCCCCTGTGGTCCTACCCATGCTTATGAAGGCCCCACACTCCACGTGTGGCTTGAACACTTTTCCCATAGCTTTCGCCAATATCGAGTATCATATTTTGCCATGAATAGTGTGCACATTTCTGTCCACATTTTTGAGGGAAAGGTAAGGGTGCGCATTATCCATGGGTGGTACCTGAAATACCTTGTATCTCTTCTTGTGTTTTGAAATGATGGGTTACGTGAAATTTCGTGTACCGTAATGTGTGCAAAAATAAATGCTAAAACTCCTTTACAATAGGAAAGAAACCCAAGTATCTAAAGATACAGAAACAGATTTTTGAATTAAAAATTCAAACGCCAAGTTCTTTCCCCCGAAAGTTCGAGCCAGCAACATGGATGTGCATTACGCATGGCAAAACACGTGGCTTTGACTTCCCTGTCGTGTTCATTGTTCACTGCTGGTCTCCACCTGCGTGAACGTGGCCACGTTTGAGGAAGAATCTTTGCGTATGCTGCTCAGTGATACACTGAAAGGCCTAAAACAAACTTGCACCGAAGATTTGCTTGGTGACATCAGTGGAATTACGTGGCATGTGCTTCTGTTGAAGCTTCGCTCTCCCTGTCTTACCAGGGACCACGAGGCTTTCACCCGGAGCCAGCAGCGGCTCACAGAGTTCCAAGCCAGGTAGGACATGAGGGAGCATTAGAGTCACACAGTTCTACCTTCAACACAGGAATGTCAAAATATCTCAAGGAATTGATGAGTGCCATTTAGAGAGAGAAATCCATCATCTGCCTGTTTTCTCTTGTAGGCACCTCTGTCGCACCGGGGAGTCCAGCGACTGGAAGTGCAACAGGTGAGGGTGACACAAGGTCTGCGTTCCCTTGCAGTGGCCCCTGGGGGGAAGGAACTCCTTTAGCAGCAATGATCAAAAGGGGGGGCCCGGAGAGGAAACAGTGGGAAGTACTTGAGAGTTCATTCCTTAGGGTAACGCAGGCCTCAGGAAATTATTGGTTTCAGTCGTTCAAGTGTACGTAGTCCCTTCAGTTTGAAGGGGGAGCTGACGGTGTGTTGATGCCTTTACCGTTCTCATTGTTAGGTGCTACACGGGGACACTCTGGGACAACCATTCGACCTGGGAGTTCCCGCACTGGTAGGTTAACGAGAAGAAACCGCCATAGTTACACTCCCAGTATAGTTCGTAGACGTGCTCTGAAGAAATACCAACGCAGTTCTCCCCTGGTGTCTGAGACCCTCGTTTCTCACCGTTCGTTCACCATTGTCTTCTTCCAGAGGCCACGACGTTCACGGGAGGTAGCGGCGCCCCTGGAACTGGACCCAGACCCGGTGAGAAAGGGTCCTTGCCGTGTGGGGTTTGCCGTTAATGACGGCTCTTCTTAGCGCCGCCCGCCTGCCGGGGGAGGTGCGCTTTCCTGCAGAGTGGTTTGCCTTGGCTCCCGGTTTTCCGTAGACGTAGCATCTTGTGGAAAACTCGGGATCCTGGCTTCTAGTCTCGCAACTGCAACTTTGGGAAGGGGGGGCCGGTGGTGAAGTCAGTATGAGCGCCTCACGCTGCGATGGCATACACGTCGCGACGGTGCCGGGGCAGCTGAGAAAAAGGCACCTGGGGAGGAGACAGACAACGTGAACCCGTAAATAGGCCAGTCTGACGCAAAGGCGTTGTTGCTGAAAAGGGCCAAAATCGTATCCCGTATCTTGCTGGCACATTCAAATATTTCCCTGGTTTTCCTCCCACAGAAACCACTGCCGCACCACAAGGCCCAGCAACTGGGAGTATGACAGGTGATCCTGGGGGGGAAGCAGGCTCTTTGTCCACATCTGAATGAATGGCATTCGGGAGGGCGTCTCATGCTGGGAACAGTACGGATGCGGTTGGTCTCGCAATTACGTGGGTCCCGGAAAAGGCATAGGTCCTTCATTCATCATGGAGTCGCGAGAGGGGGCTTTGATGGCACCTCGAAGTCCCTAGAGTCCTTCTGAGGCAGTCCTTCGGCGGACAAGCTCGAGTCACGTTGGACATCTCGGACCCCTTCTGTTTCAGGCACCACTGGGGTAGCCCCAGGCACAGCTGTTGGCCCTGGCACCTCCAACACAGGTGAGTCAACAGGCTGACAGAGAAGTTCCTCATGTCCTTTGTGAACGTAGACGTCTCCAATGTCTCTAGGTTCTTTAGTGAGTCCACCATGTACTACCATCATCCTTAAATATTCTCCACTTACTTCTTCTCCACATTCTCTCCCTCAGAGGCCACAGCGCCCAGAGGAGAAAGTGGAACGACCCGAGTTGCAATAGACACAAGTGAGGGCTCCTCCTTAATAATACCTGCAGGTCATGATAGCTGCTTTAAGAAATCTTCTAAAAATATATCTACACTATTTATGTCCATCATATGGAGCAAACCCAGATTTTAGAAAAGGCGAGCCAAAATGCACAAGGGCGCCTAACGGTCTAAAACCTCAAGCGTCTTCACTAGGGCATCGTAGAGTCAAACGAATGACGGACGAACAGTAACGTAGAGAGAAACTTTTTTGATTCCCCCCCACCCCCCATAAAGAGATGCGAGAGTCGAGAGCTCGGGAAAGCAGTTCTAGAAATAGATGTTACAGGGGGCGCGTGGGGAGAACCTCTTGGTCCTAAAACTCCCAGGGATATAGTTGGCTGCTTTGTGGAGACTTGAGCTTTCCGTTGGAGTCACGTAGTAGAAACGCAACGGTGTTAGGAACGACTGACCTTTTCTTGTTGTCGGCACGGCAGGTATAGTCTCCGGACGAACTGCGCCCCCTGAAATTTATATCACGGGTAAGTCCGAAAATACATGTAGAAGCTGCACACTGGTATCTTAGATGGCACATTCTGACGATAGTACAAGATGGACTTTCCCACCACGCAGTCTTCACCCTTCCCTTCTTTTGTCTCTCAGAGGCCACAACTTCCATTGGAGGAGGCGGGACCACGCAAGCAGGACTTCCAGGAGGTGAGTTATTTTCATCAACCGAGTCTTCGGGGTTCCCCCCGCCCCGCCCAATCCCTGTTTGTATGGCCAGAGTGAACACGTGAGTGGGAAGGTGGGCGAAGGAGAGGGACCTGCCCTTCCTCAGGGAACACAGCACGCAGAGTCACACACCTGGGTCCGCCGACAGACGCCATGTTCCCCCGTTTCCCCATGCAAATTGGCAAGGCCCAGGCCGAAGAGGTAGTTGCTCGATGGCAGCTACGAGGCCCCCCTGTGGTCCTACCCATGCTTATGAAGGCCCCACACTCCACGTGTGGCTTGAACACTTTTTCCATAGCTTTCGCCAATATCGAGTATCATATTTTGCCATGAATAGTGTGCACATTTCTGTCCACATTTTTGAGGGAAAGGTAAGGGTGCGCATTATCCATGGGTGGTACCTGAAATACCTTGTATCTCTTCTTGTGTTTTGAAATGATGGGTTACGTGAAATTTCGTGTACCGTAATGTGTGCAAAAATAAATGCTAAAACTCCTTTACAATAGGAAAGAAACCCAAGTATCTAAAGATACAGAAACAGATTTTTGAATTAAAAATTCAAACGCCAAGTTCTTTCCCCCGAAAGTTCGAGCCAGCAACATGGATGTGCATTACGCATGGCAAAACACGTGGCTTTGACTTCCCTGTCGTGTTCATTGTTCACTGCTGGTCTCCACCTGCGTGAACGTGGCCACGTTTGAGGAAGAATCTTTGCGTATGCTGCTCAGTGATACACTGAAAGGCCTAAAACAAACTTGCACCGAAGATTTGCTTGGTGACATCAGTGGAATTACGTGGCATGTGCTTCTGTTGAAGCTTCGCTCTCCCTGTCTTACCAGGGACCACGAGGCTTTCACCCGGAGCCAGCAGCGGCTCACAGAGTTCCAAGCCAGGTAGGACATGAGGGAGCATTAGAGTCACACAGTTCTACCTTCAACACAGGAATGTCAAAATATCTCAAGGAATTGATGAGTGCCATTTAGAGAGAGAAATCCATCATCTGCCTGTTTTCTCTTGTAGGCACCTCTGTCGCACCGGGGAGTCCAGCGACTGGAAGTGCAACAGGTGAGGGTGACACAAGGTCTGCGTTCCCTTGCAGTGGCCCCTGGGGGGAAGGAACTCCTTTAGCAGCAATGATCAAAAGGGGGGCCCGGAGAGGAAACAGTGGGAAGTACTTGAGAGTTCATTCCTTAGGGTAACGCAGGCCTCAGGAAATTATTGGTTTCAGTCGTTCAAGTGTACGTAGTCCCTTCAGTTTGAAGGGGGAGCTGACGGTGTGTTGATGCCTTTACCGTTCTCATTGTTAGGTGCTACACGGGGACACTCTGGGACAACCATTCGACCTGGGAGTTCCCGCACTGGTAGGTTAACGAGAAGAAACCGCCATAGTTACACTCCCAGTATAGTTCGTAGACGTGCTCTGAAGAAATACCAACGCAGTTCTCCCCTGGTGTCTGAGACCCTCGTTTCTCACCGTTCGTTCACCATTGTCTTCTTCCAGAGGCCACGACGTTCACGGGAGGTAGCGGCGCCCCTGGAACTGGACCCAGACCCGGTGAGAAAGGGTCCTTGCCGTGTGGGGTTTGCCGTTAATGACGGCTCTTCTTAGCGCCGCCCGCCTGCCGGGGAGGTGCGCTTTCCTGCAGAGTGGTTTGCCTTGGCTCCCGGTTTTCCGTAGACGTAGCATCTTGTGGAAAACTCGGGATCCTGGCTTCTAGTCTCGCAACTGGAACTTTGGGAAGGGGGGGCCGGTGGTGAAGTCAGTATGAGCGCCTCACGCTGCGATGGCATACACGTCGCGACGGTGCCGGGGCAGCTGAGAAAAAGGCACCTGGGGAGGAGGCAGACAACGTGAACCCGTAAATAGGCCAGTCTGACGCAAAGGCGTTGTTGCTGAAAAGGGCCAAAATCGTATCCCGTATCTTGCTGGCACATTCAAATATTTCCCTGGTTTTCCTCCCACAGAAACCACTGCCGCACCACAAGGCCCAGCAACTGGGAGTATGACAGGTGATCCTGGGGGGGAAGCAGGCTCTTTGTCCACATCTGAATGAATGGCATTCGGGAGGGCGTCTCATGCTGGGAACAGTACGGATGCGGTTGGTCTCGCAATTACGTGGGTCCCGGAAAAGGCATAGGTCCTTCATTCATCATGGAGTCGCGAGAGGGGGCTTTGATGGCACCTCGAAGTCCCTAGAGTCCTTCTGAGGCAGTCCTTCGGCGGACAAGCTCGAGTCACGTTGGACATCTCGGACCCCTTCTGTTTCAGGCACCACTGGGGTAGCCCCAGGCACAGCTGTTGGCCCTGGCACCTCCAACACAGGTGAGTCAACAGGCTGACAGAGAAGTTCCTCATGTCCTTTGTGAACGTAGACGTCTCCAATGTCTCTAGGTTCTTTAGTGAGTCCACCATGTACTACCATCATCCTTAAATATTCTCCACTTACTTCTTCTCCACATTCTCTCCCTCAGAGGCCACAGCGCCCAGAGGAGAAAGTGGAACGACCCGAGTTGCAATAGACACAAGTGAGGGCTCCTCCTTAATAATACCTGCAGGTCATGATAGCTGCTTTAAGAAATCTTCTAAAAATATATCTACACTATTTATGTCCATCATATGGAGCAAACCCAGATTTTAGAAAAGGCGAGCCAAAATGCACAAGGGCGCCTAACGGTCTAAAACCTCAAGCGTCTTCACTAGGGCATCGTAGAGTCAAACGAATGACGGACGAACAGTAACGTAGAGAGAAACTTTTTTGATTCCCCCCCACCCCCCATAAAGAGATGCGAGAGTCGAGAGCTCGGGAAAGCAGTTCTAGAAATAGATGTTACAGGGGGGCGCGTGGGGAGAACCTCTTGGTCCTAAAACTCCCAGGGATATAGTTGGCTGCTTTGTGGAGACTTGAGCTTTCCGTTGGAGTCACGTAGTAGAAACGCAACGGTGTTAGGAACGACTGACCTTTTCTTGTTGTCGGCACGGCAGGTATAGTCTCCGGACGAACTGCGCCCCCTGAAATTTATATCACGGGTAAGTCCGAAAATACATGTAGAAGCTGCACACTGGTATCTTAGATGGCACATTCTGACGATAGTACAAGATGGACTTTCCCACCACGCAGTCTTCACCCTTCCCTTCTTTTGTCTCTCAGAGGCCACAACTTCCATTGGAGGAGGCGGGACCACGCAAGCAGGACTTCCAGGAGGTGAGTTATTTTCATCAACCGAGTCTTCGGGGTTCCCCCGCCCCGCCCAATCCCTGTTTGTATGGCCAGAGTGAACACGTGAGTGGGAAGGTGGGCGAAGGAGAGGGACCTGCCCTTCCTCAGGGAACACAGCACGCAGAGTCACACACCTGGGTCCGCCGACAGACGCCATGTTCCCCCGTTTCCCCATGCAAATTGGCAAGGCCCAGGCCGAAGAGGTAGTTGCTCGATGGCAGCTACGAGGCCCCCCTGTGGTCCTACCCATGCTTATGAAGGCCCCACACTCCACGTGTGGCTTGAACACTTTTTCCATAGCTTTCGCCAATATCGAGTATCATATTTTGCCATGAATAGTGTGCACATTTCTGTCCACATTTTTGAGGGAAAGGTAAGGGTGCGCATTATCCATGGGTGGTACCTGAAATACCTTGTATCTCTTCTTGTGTTTTGAAATGATGGGTTACGTGAAATTTCGTGTACCGTAATGTGTGCAAAAATAAATGCTAAAACTCCTTTACAATAGGAAAGAAACCCAAGTATCTAAAGATACAGAAACAGATTTTTGAATTAAAAATTCAAACGCCAAGTTCTTTCCCCCCGAAAGTTCGAGCCAGCAACATGGATGTGCATTACGCATGGCAAAACACGTGGCTTTGACTTCCCTGTCGTGTTCATTGTTCACTGCTGGTCTCCACCTGCGTGAACGTGGCCACGTTTGAGGAAGAATCTTTGCGTATGCTGCTCAGTGATACACTGAAAGGCCTAAAACAAACTTGCACCGAAGATTTGCTTGGTGACATCAGTGGAATTACGTGGCATGTGCTTCTGTTGAAGCTTCGCTCTCCCTGTCTTACCAGGGACCACGAGGCTTTCACCCGGAGCCAGCAGCGGCTCACAGAGTTCCAAGCCAGGTAGGACATGAGGGAGCATTAGAGTCACACAGTTCTACCTTCAACACAGGAATGTCAAAATATCTCAAGGAATTGATGAGTGCCATTTAGAGAGAGAAATCCATCATCTGCCTGTTTTCTCTTGTAGGCACCTCTGTCGCACCGGGGAGTCCAGCGACTGGAAGTGCAACAGGTGAGGGTGACACAAGGTCTGCGTTCCCTTGCAGTGGCCCCTGGGGGGAAGGAACTCCTTTAGCAGCAATGATCAAAAGGGGGGCCCGGAGAGGAAACAGTGGGAAGTACTTGAGAGTTCATTCCTTAGGGTAACGCAGGCCTCAGGAAATTATTGGTTTCAGTCGTTCAAGTGTACGTAGTCCCTTCAGTTTGAAGGGGGAGCTGACGGTGTGTTGATGCCTTTACCGTTCTCATTGTTAGGTGCTACACGGGGACACTCTGGGACAACCATTCGACCTGGGAGTTCCCGCACTGGTAGGTTAACGAGAAGAAACCGCCATAGTTACACTCCCAGTATAGTTCGTAGACGTGCTCTGAAGAAATACCAACGCAGTTCTCCCCTGGTGTCTGAGACCCTCGTTTCTCACCGTTCGTTCACCATTGTCTTCTTCCAGAGGCCACGACGTTCACGGGAGGTAGCGGCGCCCCTGGAACTGGACCCAGACCCGGTGAGAAAGGGTCCTTGCCGTGTGGGGTTTGCCGTTAATGACGGCTCTTCTTAGCGCCGCCCGCCTGCCGGGGAGGTGCGCTTTCCTGCAGAGTGGTTTGCCTTGGCTCCCGGTTTTCCGTAGACGTAGCATCTTGTGGAAAACTCGGGATCCTGGCTTCTAGTCTCGCAACTGCAACTTTGGGAAGGGGGGGCCGGTGGTGAAGTCAGTATGAGCGCCTCACGCTGCGATGGCATACACGTCGCGACGGTGCCGGGGCAGCTGAGAAAAAGGCACCTGGGGAGGAGGCAGACAACGTGAACCCGTAAATAGGCCAGTCTGACGCAAAGGCGTTGTTGCTGAAAAGGGCCAAAATCGTATCCCGTATCTTGCTGGCACATTCAAATATTTCCCTGGTTTTCCTCCCACAGAAACCACTGCCGCACCACAAGGCCCAGCAACTGGGAGTATGACAGGTGATCCTGCGGGGGGAAGCAGGCTCTTTGTCCACATCTGAATGAATGGCATTCGGGAGGGCGTCTCATGCTGGGAACAGTACGGATGCGGTTGGTCTCGCAATTACGTGGGTCCCGGAAAAGGCATAGGTCCTTCATTCATCATGGAGTCGCGAGAGGGGGCTTTGATGGCACCTCGAAGTCCCTAGAGTCCTTCTGAGGCAGTCCTTCGGCGGACAAGCTCGAGTCACGTTGGACATCTCGGACCCCTTCTGTTTCAGGCACCACTGGGGTAGCCCCAGGCACAGCTGTTGGCCCTGGCACCTCCAACACAGGTGAGTCAACAGGCTGACAGAGAAGTTCCTCATGTCCTTTGTGAACGTAGACGTCTCCAATGTCTCTAGGTTCTTTAGTGAGTCCACCATGTACTACCATCATCCTTAAATATTCTCCACTTACTTCTTCTCCACATTCTCTCCCTCAGAGGCCACAGCGCCCAGAGGAGAAAGTGGAACGACCCGAGTTGCAATAGACACAAGTGAGGGCTCCTCCTTAATAATACCTGCAGGTCATGATAGCTGCTTTAAGAAATCTTCTAAAAATATATCTACACTATTTATGTCCATCATATGGAGCAAACCCAGATTTTAGAAAAGGCGAGCCAAAATGCACAAGGGCGCCTTACGGTCTAAAACCTCAAGCGTCTTCACTAGGGCATCGTAGAGTCAAACGAATGACGGACGAACAGTAACGTAGAGAGAAACTTTTTTGATTCCCCCCCACCCCCCATAAAGAGATGCGAGAGTCGAGAGCTCGGGAAAGCAGTTCTAGAAATAGATGTTACAGGGGGCGCGTGGGGAGAACCTCTTGGTCCTAAAACTCCCAGGGATATAGTTGGCTGCTTTGTGGAGACTTGAGCTTTCCGTTGGAGTCACGTAGTAGAAACGCAACGGTGTTAGGAACGACTGACCTTTTCTTGTTGTCGGCACGGCAGGTATAGTCTCCGGACGAACTGCGCCCCCTGAAATTTATATCACGGGTAAGTCCGAAAATACATGTAGAAGCTGCACACTGGTATCTTAGATGGCACATTCTGACGATAGTACAAGATGGACTTTCCCACCACGCAGTCTTCACCCTTCCCTTCTTTTGTCTCTCAGAGGCCACAACTTCCATTGGAGGAGGCGGGACCACGCAAGCAGGACTTCCAGGAGGTGAGTTATTTTCATCAACCGAGTCTTCGGGGTTCCCCCGCCCCGCCCAATCCCTGTTTGTATGGCCAGAGTGAACACGTGAGTGGGAAGGTGGGCGAAGGAGAGGGACCTGCCCTTCCTCAGGGAACACAGCACGCAGAGTCACACACCTGGGTCCGCCGACAGACGCCATGTTCCCCCCGTTTCCCCATGCAAATTGGCAAGGCCCAGGCCGAAGAGGTAGTTGCTCGATGGCAGCTACGAGGCCCCCCTGTGGTCCTACCCATGCTTATGAAGGCCCCACACTCCACGTGTGGCTTGAACACTTTTTCCATAGCTTTCGCCAATATCGAGTATCATATTTTGCCATGAATAGTGTGCACATTTCTGTCCACATTTTTGAGGGAAAGGTAAGGGTGCGCATTATCCATGGGTGGTACCTGAAATACCTTGTATCTCTTCTTGTGTTTTGAAATGATGGGTTACGTGAAATTTCGTGTACCGTAATGTGTGCAAAAATAAATGCTAAAACTCCTTTACAATAGGAAAGAAACCCAAGTATCTAAAGATACAGAAACAGATTTTTGAATTAAAAATTCAAACGCCAAGTTCTTTCCCCCCGAAAGTTCGAGCCAGCAACATGGATGTGCATTACGCATGGCAAAACACGTGGCTTTGACTTCCCTGTCGTGTTCATTGTTCACTGCTGGTCTCCACCTGCGTGAACGTGGCCACGTTTGAGGAAGAATCTTTGCGTATGCTGCTCAGTGATACACTGAAAGGCCTAAAACAAACTTGCACCGAAGATTTGCTTGGTGACATCAGTGGAATTACGTGGCATGTGCTTCTGTTGAAGCTTCGCTCTCCCTGTCTTACCAGGGACCACGAGGCTTTCACCCGGAGCCAGCAGCGGCTCACAGAGTTCCAAGCCAGGTAGGACATGAGGGAGCATTAGAGTCACACAGTTCTACCTTCAACACAGGAATGTCAAAATATCTCAAGGAATTGATGAGTGCCATTTAGAGAGAGAAATCCATCATCTGCCTGTTTTCTCTTGTAGGCACCTCTGTCGCACCGGGGAGTCCAGCGACTGGAAGTGCAACAGGTGAGGGTGACACAAGGTCTGCGTTCCCTTGCAGTGGCCCCTGGGGGGAAGGAACTCCTTTAGCAGCAATGATCAAAAGGGGGGGCCCGGAGAGGAAACAGTGGGAAGTACTTGAGAGTTCATTCCTTAGGGTAACGCAGGCCTCAGGAAATTATTGGTTTCAGTCGTTCAAGTGTACGTAGTCCCTTCAGTTTGAAGGGGGAGCTGACGGTGTGTTGATGCCTTTACCGTTCTCATTGTTAGGTGCTACACGGGGACACTCTGGGACAACCATTCGACCTGGGAGTTCCCGCACTGGTAGGTTAACGAGAAGAAACCGCCATAGTTACACTCCCAGTATAGTTCGTAGACGTGCTCTGAAGAAATACCAACGCAGTTCTCCCCTGGTGTCTGAGACCCTCGTTTCTCACCGTTCGTTCACCATTGTCTTCTTCCAGAGGCCACGACGTTCACGGGAGGTAGCGGCGCCCCTGGAACTGGACCCAGACCCGGTGAGAAAGGGTCCTTGCCGTGTGGGGTTTGCCGTTAATGACGGCTCTTCTTAGCGCCGCCCGCCTGCGGGGGAGGTGCGCTTTCCTGCAGAGTGGTTTGCCTTGGCTCCCGGTTTTCCGTAGACGTAGCATCTTGTGGAAAACTCGGGATCCTGGCTTCTAGTCTCGCAACTGGAACTTTGGGAAGGGGGGCCGGTGGTGAAGTCAGTATGAGCGCCTCACGCTGCGATGGCATACACGTCGCGACGGTGCCGGGGCAGCTGAGAAAAAGGCACCTGGGGAGGAGACAGACAACGTGAACCCGTAAATAGGCCAGTCTGACGCAAAGGCGTTGTTGCTGAAAAGGGCCAAAATCGTATCCCGTATCTTGCTGGCACATTCAAATATTTCCCTGGTTTTCCTCCCACAGAAACCACTGTCGCACCACAAGGCCCAGCAACTGGGAGTATGACAGGTGATCCTGGGGGGGAAGCAGGCTCTTTGTCCACATCTGAATGAATGGCATTCGGGAGGGCGTCTCATGCTGGGAACAGTACGGATGCGGTTGGTCTCGCAATTACGTGGGTCCCGGAAAAGGCATAGGTCCTTCATTCATCATGGAGTCGCGAGAGGGGGGCTTTGATGGCACCTCGAAGTCCCTAGAGTCCTTCTGAGGCAGTCCTTCGGCGGACAAGCTCGAGTCACGTTGGACATCTCGGACCCCTTCTGTTTCAGGCACCACTGGGGTAGCCCCAGGCACAGCTGTTGGCCCTGGCACCTCCAACACAGGTGAGTCAACAGGCTGACAGAGAAGTTCCTCATGTCCTTTGTGAACGTAGACGTCTCCAATGTCTCTAGGTTCTTTAGTGAGTCCACCATGTACTACCATCATCCTTAAATATTCTCCACTTACTTCTTCTCCACATTCTCTCCCTCAGAGGCCACAGCGCCCAGAGGAGAAAGTGGAACGACCCGAGTTGCAATAGACACAAGTGAGGGCTCCTCCTTAATAATACCTGCAGGTCATGATAGCTGCTTTAAGAAATCTTCTAAAAATATATCTACACTATTTATGTCCATCATATGGAGCAAACCCAGATTTTAGAAAAGGCGAGCCAAAATGCACAAGGGCGCCTAACGGTCTAAAACCTCAAGCGTCTTCACTAGGGCATCGTAGAGTCAAACGAATGACGGACGAACAGTAACGTAGAGAGAAACTTTTTTGATTCCCCCCCACCCCCCATAAAGAGATGCGAGAGTCGAGAGCTCGGGAAAGCAGTTCTAGAAATAGATGTTACAGGGGGCGCGTGGGGAGAACCTCTTGGTCCTAAAACTCCCAGGGATATAGTTGGCTGCTTTGTGGAGACTTGAGCTTTCCGTTGGAGTCACGTAGTAGAAACGCAACGGTGTTAGGAACGACTGACCTTTTCTTGTTGTCGGCACGGCAGGTATAGTCTCCGGACGAACTGCGCCCCCTGAAATTTATATCACGGGTAAGTCCGAAAATACATGTAGAAGCTGCACACTGGTATCTTAGATGGCACATTCTGACGATAGTACAAGATGGACTTTCCCACCACGCAGTCTTCACCCTTCCCTTCTTTTGTCTCTCAGAGGCCACAACTTCCATTGGAGGAGGCGGGACCACGCAAGCAGGACTTCCAGGAGGTGAGTTATTTTCATCAACCGAGTCTTCGGGGTTCCCCCGCCCCGCCCAATCCCTGTTTGTATGGCCAGAGTGAACACGTGAGTGGGAAGGTGGGCGAAGGAGAGGGACCTGCCCTTCCTCAGGGAACACAGCACGCAGAGTCACACACCTGGGTCCGCCGACAGACGCCATGTTCCCCCGTTTCCCCATGCAAATTGGCAAGGCCCAGGCCGAAGAGGTAGTTGCTCGATGGCAGCTACGAGGCCCCCCCTGTGGTCCTACCCATGCTTATGAAGGCCCCACACTCCACGTGTGGCTTGAACACTTTTTCCATAGCTTTCGCCAATATCGAGTATCATATTTTGCCATGAATAGTGTGCACATTTCTGTCCACATTTTTGAGGGAAAGGTAAGGGTGCGCATTATCCATGGGTGGTACCTGAAATACCTTGTATCTCTTCTTGTGTTTTGAAATGATGGGTTACGTGAAATTTCGTGTACCGTAATGTGTGCAAAAATAAATGCTAAAACTCCTTTACAATAGGAAAGAAACCCAAGTATCTAAAGATACAGAAACAGATTTTTGAATTAAAAATTCAAACGCCAAGTTCTTTCCCCCCGAAAGTTCGAGCCAGCAACATGGATGTGCATTACGCATGGCAAAACACGTGGCTTTGACTTCCCTGTCGTGTTCATTGTTCACTGCTGGTCTCCACCTGCGTGAACGTGGCCACGTTTGAGGAAGAATCTTTGCGTATGCTGCTCAGTGATACACTGAAAGGCCTAAAACAAACTTGCACCGAAGATTTGCTTGGTGACATCAGTGGAATTACGTGGCATGTGCTTCTGTTGAAGCTTCGCTCTCCCTGTCTTACCAGGGACCACGAGGCTTTCACCCGGAGCCAGCAGCGGCTCACAGAGTTCCAAGCCAGGTAGGACATGAGGGAGCATTAGAGTCACACAGTTCTACCTTCAACACAGGAATGTCAAAATATCTCAAGGAATTGATGAGTGCCATTTAGAGAGAGAAATCCATCATCTGCCTGTTTTCTCTTGTAGGCACCTCTGTCGCACCGGGGAGTCCAGCGACTGGAAGTGCAACAGGTGAGGGTGACACAAGGTCTGTGTTCCCTTGCAGTGGCCCCTGGGGGGAAGGAACTCCTTTAGCAGCAATGATCAAAAGGGGGGGCCCGGAGAGGAAACAGTGGGAAGTACTTGAGAGTTCATTCCTTAGGGTAACGCAGGCCTCAGGAAATTATTGGTTTCAGTCGTTCAAGTGTACGTAGTCCCTTCAGTTTGAAGGGGGAGCTGACGGTGTGTTGATGCCTTTACCGTTCTCATTGTTAGGTGCTACACGGGGACACTCTGGGACAACCATTCGACCTGGGAGTTCCCGCACTGGTAGGTTAACGAGAAGAAACCGCCATAGTTACACTCCCAGTATAGTTCGTAGACGTGCTCTGAAGAAATACCAACGCAGTTCTCCCCTGGTGTCTGAGACCCTCGTTTCTCACCGTTCGTTCACCATTGTCTTCTTCCAGAGGCCACGACGTTCACGGGAGGTAGCGGCGCCCCTGGAACTGGACCCAGACCCGGTGAGAAAGGGTCCTTGCCGTGTGGGGTTTGCCGTTAATGACGGCTCTTCTTAGCGCCGCCCGCCTGCGGGGGAGGTGCGCTTTCCTGCAGAGTGGTTTGCCTTGGCTCCCGGTTTTCCGTAGACGTAGCATCTTGTGGAAAACTCGGGATCCTGGCTTCTAGTCTCGCAACTGGAACTTTGGGAAGGGGGGGCCGGTGGTGAAGTCAGTATGAGCGCCTCACGCTGCGATGGCATACACGTCGCGACGGTGCCGGGGCAGCTGAGAAAAAGGCACCTGGGGAGGAGACAGACAACGTGAACCCGTAAATAGGCCAGTCTGACGCAAAGGCGTTGTTGCTGAAAAGGGCCAAAATCGTATCCCGTATCTTGCTGGCACATTCAAATATTTCCCTGGTTTTCCTCCCACAGAAACCACTGCCGCACCACAAGGCCCAGCAACTGGGAGTATGACAGGTGATCCTGGGGGGGAAGCAGGCTCTTTGTCCACATCTGAATGAATGGCATTCGGGAGGGCGTCTCATGCTGGGAACAGTACGGATGCGGTTGGTCTCGCAATTACGTGGGTCCCGGAAAAGGCATAGGTCCTTCATTCATCATGGAGTCGCGAGAGGGGGCTTTGATGGCACCTCGAAGTCCCTAGAGTCCTTCTGAGGCAGTCCTTCGGCGGACAAGCTCGAGTCACGTTGGACATCTCGGACCCCTTCTGTTTCAGGCACCACTGGGGTAGCCCCAGGCACAGCTGTTGGCCCTGGCACCTCCAACACAGGTGAGTCAACAGGCTGACAGAGAAGTTCCTCATGTCCTTTGTGAACGTAGACGTCTCCAATGTCTCTAGGTTCTTTAGTGAGTCCACCATGTACTACCATCATCCTTAAATATTCTCCACTTACTTCTTCTCCACATTCTCTCCCTCAGAGGCCACAGCGCCCAGAGGAGAAAGTGGAACGACCCGAGTTGCAATAGACACAAGTGAGGGCTCCTCCTTAATAATACCTGCAGGTCATGATAGCTGCTTTAAGAAATCTTCTAAAAATATATCTACACTATTTATGTCCATCATATGGAGCAAACCCAGATTTTAGAAAAGGCGAGCCAAAATGCACAAGGGCGCCTTACGGTCTAAAACCTCAAGCGTCTTCACTAGGGCATCGTAGAGTCAAACGAATGACGGACGAACAGTAACGTAGAGAGAAACTTTTTTGATTCCCCCCCACCCCCCATAAAGAGATGCGAGAGTCGAGAGCTCGGGAAAGCAGTTCTAGAAATAGATGTTACAGGGGGCGCGTGGGGAGAACCTCTTGGTCCTAAAACTCCCAGGGATATAGTTGGCTGCTTTGTGGAGACTTGAGCTTTCCGTTGGAGTCACGTAGTAGAAACGCAACGGTGTTAGGAACGACTGACCTTTTCTTGTTGTCGGCACGGCAGGTATAGTCTCCGGACGAACTGCGCCCCCCTGAAATTTATATCACGGGTAAGTCCGAAAATACATGTAGAAGCTGCACACTGGTATCTTAGATGGCACATTCTGACGATAGTACAAGATGGACTTTCCCACCACGCAGTCTTCACCCTTCCCTTCTTTTGTCTCTCAGAGGCCACAACTTCCATTGGAGGAGGCGGGACCACGCAAGCAGGACTTCCAGGAGGTGAGTTATTTTCATCAACCGAGTCTTCGGGGTTCCCCCGCCCCGCCCAATCCCTGTTTGTATGGCCAGAGTGAACACGTGAGTGGGAAGGTGGGCGAAGGAGAGGGACCTGCCCTTCCTCAGGGAACACAGCACGCAGAGTCACACACCTGGGTCCGCCGACAGACGCCATGTTCCCCCGTTTCCCCATGCAAATTGGCAAGGCCCAGGCCGAAGAGGTAGTTGCTCGATGGCAGCTACGAGGCCCCCCTGTGGTCCTACCCATGCTTATGAAGGCCCCACACTCCACGTGTGGCTTGAACACTTTTTCCATAGCTTTCGCCAATATCGAGTATCATATTTTGCCATGAATAGTGTGCACATTTCTGTCCACATTTTTGAGGGAAAGGTAAGGGTGCGCATTATCCATGGGTGGTACCTGAAATACCTTGTATCTCTTCTTGTGTTTTGAAATGATGGGTTACGTGAAATTTCGTGTACCGTAATGTGTGCAAAAATAAATGCTAAAACTCCTTTACAATAGGAAAGAAACCCAAGTATCTAAAGATACAGAAACAGATTTTTGAATTAAAAATTCAAACGCCAAGTTCTTTCCCCCGAAAGTTCGAGCCAGCAACATGGATGTGCATTACGCATGGCAAAACACGTGGCTTTGACTTCCCTGTCGTGTTCATTGTTCACTGCTGGTCTCCACCTGCGTGAACGTGGCCACGTTTGAGGAAGAATCTTTGCGTATGCTGCTCAGTGATACACTGAAAGGCCTAAAACAAACTTGCACCGAAGATTTGCTTGGTGACATCAGTGGAATTACGTGGCATGTGCTTCTGTTGAAGCTTCGCTCTCCCTGTCTTACCAGGGACCACGAGGCTTTCACCCGGAGCCAGCAGCGGCTCACAGAGTTCCAAGCCAGGTAGGACATGAGGGAGCATTAGAGTCACACAGTTCTACCTTCAACACAGGAATGTCAAAATATCTCAAGGAATTGATGAGTGCCATTTAGAGAGAGAAATCCATCATCTGCCTGTTTTCTCTTGTAGGCACCTCTGTCGCACCGGGGAGTCCAGCGACTGGAAGTGCAACAGGTGAGGGTGACACAAGGTCTGCGTTCCCTTGCAGTGGCCCCTGGGGGGAAGGAACTCCTTTAGCAGCAATGATCAAAAGGGGGGCCCGGAGAGGAAACAGTGGGAAGTACTTGAGAGTTCATTCCTTAGGGTAACGCAGGCCTCAGGAAATTATTGGTTTCAGTCGTTCAAGTGTACGTAGTCCCTTCAGTTTGAAGGGGAGCTGACGGTGTGTTGATGCCTTTACCGTTCTCATTGTTAGGTGCTACACGGGGACACTCTGGGACAACCATTCGACCTGGGAGTTCCCGCACTGGTAGGTTAACGAGAAGAAACCGCCATAGTTACACTCCCAGTATAGTTCGTAGACGTGCTCTGAAGAAATACCAACGCAGTTCTCCCCTGGTGTCTGAGACCCTCGTTTCTCACCGTTCGTTCACCATTGTCTTCTTCCAGAGGCCACGACGTTCACGGGAGGTAGCGGCGCCCCTGGAACTGGACCCAGACCCGGTGAGAAAGGGTCCTTGCCGTGTGGGGTTTGCCGTTAATGACGGCTCTTCTTAGCGCCGCCCGCCTGCGGGGGAGGTGCGCTTTCCTGCAGAGTGGTTTGCCTTGGCTCCCGGTTTTCCGTAGACGTAGCATCTTGTGGAAAACTCGGGATCCTGGCTTCTAGTCTCGCAACTGGAACTTTGGGAAGGGGGGGCCGGTGGTGAAGTCAGTATGAGCGCCTCACGCTGCGATGGCATACACGTCGCGACGGTGCCGGGGCAGCTGAGAAAAAGGCACCTGGGGAGGAGACAGACAACGTGAACCCGTAAATAGGCCAGTCTGACGCAAAGGCGTTGTTGCTGAAAAGGGCCAAAAACGCACTCAGTATCTTCACAAGGATAAGCAACGTTTTACACATGTCTTTTTATTCCTTTAGCACAGAAAGACCTTTTCTGTACTACTGGAATACAAATTAGTGACACTGATATAGCAATATGCAGAGAAAATTCTCCTCTCTCCTCTCAACTAAGAGGCGTGATGACTAACAATTTCAAAGGTGTTATAGAAATATATTTGCAAGAGCAGCTTAAGGATGAATGAAGGACCTAAAAGTTGAATCTCGGTGTTGCATGGAGACTTCAGGTTCTTACTTAAACAGGTTGTCAGCAGGCATTTGAATTTGTGAGTACTGACCCTTTCCCGTAGGTACTAGTGTTATTATCCCTTGGAAAACTCTGGAGCCTGGAGCTCACAACACAGGTAAGTCTGAAAATACACCACAAACTAGGCTTTAGCTTCTTAGATAATATAGTGAATTATATAATATAAATTAGATAATATAAAGTGAATTTCCCACACCCTGGTCCTTACTGTTTCCTTTTTTTTCCTTTATCAGAAGCCACAACTTCCATGGGAGGAATGGCGAGTACCCAAGCAGGACTTCCAGGAGGTGAGATAATTAAGTCTGAGACTTCTTCTTCTCCTTTGAATAGCCTCTCTCTTCGTGTGGCTAAGGGGAAACTATAGTGGGAAAATTACAGGGAACTATGCCCTCCGTCCTTCTTGGAACAGAATATGCCAAATCACAAAATCAAGTCGCCCTAGGAATTCTCTGGCCACACATGACTCTGTCATTGTTTTCAGAGGCTGCAGCTTGCAAAGGAAGTGTTTGGGTATAGGGACGAGGCCCACGTACAGGCAAGCACCTGCCTACCATGGGCCCATTTGTTATATATGCTTTCTCGTGGCAGTCATTAAAAAATATCAAATTGACGTATTTGGCCCATATATTGTTCACTGCTGGTGTCCAGCTGCCAGAATATAGCCACATAGGGGAGAAATCTTTGAATATTCTGTTCACTGATGCATGCAAAGACCTAAAATAATAATGTAAGGAGACCTGCTTAATAAGTTGCAGTGGAATGAAGAACTGTGTACTTAGGTTGAAGCTTTGCTGTCCTTGCATTAACAGGCACCACCGTGGTTTCACCTGGAGGCAGCAGCAGCTCCCAGAATTCCAGGCCAGTTAGGATGCAGTACCTTCAGGGCCGTTAAGTTCAGAGCAGAGCACGCAGCCACGTCTGAGCACCTGGTTTCAGGCAACACTGCTCAGAACAACATTTTACAAAATAAAGACCACTGACTTACGTGTAATATCACTTATAGATGTTCTTTGTATGTTATAAAGTCTAGAGTTGTAGTTTTTTTCACAACTATCATGTTGATGCCATATAGCATATCGCGTTGTTAGAATGATACACTTATTGCCAGGATTGTTGTATTATTTAGGAGCATGCGTTTGTTTCTCCTTTACATCATCAGGTACCACGGGAGCATCAGCGAGTGCTACCACGGGAGCCAAAAAGAAAATTACAGGTGGCACGGACTTCAGAGAAGGTGAGATAAAGAAATGAGTCAAATGCTATACCTCCCATAGCTTCTTCTCACAGGCTGTCCTCTGTTGAAGTGAGGAAGCACGATACCCTGAGTATGGCATTAGATATCGGGGGTCCAGTGTCTGCATCAAGTGATCTGGCTATTTAAGAAAATATTCAAAATTAGTCTTTATGCATTAATAAAATATTAGTCACATATTTCTTCGGTATATTAAATTCTGAATTATGCTCAAATATATAATGTAGTTTAATCCACATGAAAACCATATAAGAAAGTCAATATTTTCCCATTAAAAAGAAAATAATAAAAGGTCTCAAGGTTCACAGAAGTAGGATTAGAACACAGAACCTTTAGCCTTCTCTTTAATCATTTCATTGTTCCTGACTCTATGCATAAGGGCATGTATCCAAAAAATAAAAACAAAACAAAACAAAAACCCAAAATGCCAAAGCAAAATGAGGATATGCTTCCCATTGTACCATGGCGGCTAAATTTCAGCTACTGTTAGTTTCATGAATGAAATATATTTCTTATACCTTAAGCAGAGTTAATTTTGATTAAAACAAACAAGACGTGGTTCACCCCTCCCCCTTATGAAGTCAGTTAGCGTGAGTACCTCTTGCATTTTCTGCTCTGCATCACATTTGCTCTGCTGGAGCTCCCATGTTAGACATTTCCCATCTGGTGTCTGCAGTGACTCGCCAGACTCCCCTCACCTGCACACAGCGATGTCCAAGTGAGCTTTCCAGACCAAGAGCATCAGCATCTCCTGAGAACATTTTAGTAATGCAACTTTTGAAGTCTGCCTCTCTAGAATCAGAAGCACTTCAGAGTGGAATGCAGCACAAAGTATTCCTTACGAAGCCCGTTAAGTAGTTGGTGCTTATGAATGTTGAGGAAATTTCCATTCTCTACTTCCCTCCCAATTTACACTTTAGTCAATACCATGGACCAGAATGGAAGGGATTCTGAACACTCTGCTCTCATCATGTGATTCCAGTACTTGAAAGCCTTCAATTGTTCTGATTGCTTTAGGATAAATAAAAATTCCCTTACATCCCATAAAATTCACGTCTTTAGAGTATGCATGGGGCTTCTCTTTATGCCTTTATTAACATATTCATGGTCTGATTTTATTAACTAATGTATGGTCTGATTTTGTCCTATACATTTATTTTCCTTTAGTTGTTTTCTTGATTTAAAATTTATGTCATATATTGTTAGAACAAAATATATTTACATAAAAATAATGAATTAAAAGTAGGATCTACAGCAACACAAATCAAGAAACTGGTAATTCCCTGAGAGCAATGAACCGACTGAAACTTCAGGGTCATGACTGTGTGGTCTATATTCCCTAAAATTTGAATGAGAATTATTTAGGTAATAATGACAAGACAATAAGGCTTTTTTCTTTTGGTTCCCAGGCAGTAAGTGCACTCATCTTACACAGGGCTACTGAATGGCTGGTCCACCAATGAGTGCCGTGGAAATGAGTTTCCCCTGGTCCATGGTGTGATAAGAATTTAAGCAGAGAACACACATTCAGAAAGGGCACATTTACCCCCATATTTTATATCTGTTAAATAAAAGTGTATGTTTGCGATGCTTATATTTTAAATAAATTTATTTCTCTACTTTACGGCATTTCCCCAAAGCATCAATAAGGGCATATTGAAATGCTTACAGCATTGCTCTCTTACTAATGGATCATTTGAGAAGCAAAGGTGCAAGTCCAAGCTCTGGAGTCGTCGGCCTGGGTGTGGCTCCTGCACGTGCTGCTGACCACCTGAGGGAGCTGGAGATGGCGGTCCCCCGCGTGTGTCACATGGAAGAAGAATATTACCTGCCTCAGAGGACTGTCATAAAATTAAATGAGTAGATCCAAGTCTAGGGCATTTTTTTAAACTACCGTATGTATTTTTTCAGCTGGATCAGGGGCCCCGACTGCACCCACAATAGGACGTGAGGAGGAGACCTCAGCCAGCGAACCAAGCCCAGGAGCGACAAGCCCAGGAAAATCAGGCAAGGCAGGATGGACACCTCAGCGCCTACTCAGTGGCACTGAACATGTGACAGGTTGAACTAAGGATTAAGCTGTGGGTGATTTTAGACCATCAAGCTGCAGAAATCTTAGGCTCCATTTTAAGATTGCTTTTGCGTAGGAAACCTCGGTTATTGTGTCCTAATAGAGGAGCGACGGCAGAACCCTGCAGCTCTCGTAGGAGTGGCCCTTCCCTGCCGTTATGTCAGGGACCTCAGAGAAAGAGAGAAACACAGGGGCTGGGAGGAAAGGCCCAGGAGACTCGCCGGCCCCAGGCGCACCCTAGGGAGCCCGAGCAGCTGTGGGCACAGGGGTCTGCAGCATCTGCTTGCTGACCTCAGGGAGGTCAAAACCAAGTTGTTAGTTATTGGTAAACGCACATATTCGTGACTGCACCTTCCCGGCCCTTATGGGCTTACCTGTGGTGGATCTCTCACATATGCTCAGGGGTGGCTTAGAGCAATGCATATTATATTTTGGATTCCAAGAATATTACCTGATAAATTCTTAAGCTCTGAGTCAGAGGTGGGGTTCAGAACATGGTGTGCAAACTTTACTACACATCAGCATTGACTAGAGAAATTTTAGAAAATACATACTGAAGAGCCCTTTACAGACTAATTGGATCAGAACTCATTGAAGAAATGCCCTGGTGTAAGTAATTTATAAACACCTGACATTTGGTTTCAAAGGATAGCCTGTGTTGAGAGCCACTCAGCTAGTGTATTTATTTAGTAAGCAGGCCAGGTGATTCTTATATTTAATTGTTAGAAATAGTAAACTTGAAATGGGTAAGTGTGACCAAATATAGGAAAAGTATTTTGAAAGAAGAGAACAGCAAAATATGTTGTGTTTAATCAAAGATCATGATATATACTTGTTTATTTTGAAAGGGACTACAGGACCCTCAGCTGGTGAACCGACTAGAGCACCGAGCGGTGAAGTGACACCATCTAAAGAAGGTTCGTTCAGTGAGTAGAGGTGTCGTTCAGAGGCTGTGGCTTTTTTCAAAAGGATCATGTAAATCAGAAACTTGATATGCACACATAATAAATAAATAATAAATAAAAAGACAATGCCATCCTTTCGTTTCTCCTCAGACACTGCTAGAGTAGCAACAGGAAATCAAGAAACTGAAAATAAAGCAGGTCGGTATGGGGAAAATCCTAACTACTTTGTTACTTACTCATTTCTTCAATACCTTATATGTGTTTTAAGGTTTTAATATCTTATTAGTGTCTATAGCAGACACTAATAGCCAAGAACATAAATAAAATACAGTCCTTATTATTTTATTACTTTGTGTGTATGTAGGGGGATTAATAGGGTTCTGAAACTATCTTTATAGTGTGTTTAACATTAATCCATAAACATGTACGACAATTATGGTCTCAAGGGTGCAGTGAGTGGAGAATGTTAATTTCCGCCTATTAGTTGGTATTATTGAGTGAAGGGAACAGATGGATATGATTGAGTTTAATATTGGCTGCAGTGAGAAGGGAATTCTACTAAACAGCCCTTGAAAAGACAGAGACATGAGACAGCATAAGTGAATTCAGGAATCAACCAGATATTGACAGTGACTGTGTGAGGTTCAGGGAAGAAATGAGATTGGAAAGGTAAGTAGAGGAAAGTTTGTGAAGAACCTTATTGCCAAATTTAAACAAGACTTTAATCCCTACACTAAATGGGATTCCCATGAAGATTCTATCATGGGAATAGTATGATCAGGTAGGTATTTGAGAGAAACTATTCTGATAACAAGGTGAAGATTAGGAAGTTGTTCTTTATGATACCTCTTGCAAATATCTTCAATGGATTCTTGGAATTCTGGTTCAGGGAAGATTTTTCTGCTGTATTAATGGCTTAATAGATTATTTCTCCCTCCTGCTGCTGGTTTCTGCTAATCTGCTAAACATTCTTAATTGGGGATTAGCCTACCTAGCCTCCCTCAGTAAAGAGAGATGTTTGATCCCCTAAACTCCCACACCTTTAATTTCTTTTCTGTTTTTCTGTACCTATTATTTGTGGGCATCCCTCTACCTAAGCATGGAGAAAGTTTAGTTCTTTTCAAATATTCTCTTGCTTCTAGGCCAGACTATTTACTTGGCATGTCAAATTGAAGTATTGATCTGATTTTTAGCTCCTTGAAAATAGAATTTGAATTTATCAGTAAATTGTTGGGTTGATCAAAATATGTGAGGTATGATGCTCAGAAAGAAACATGTGACCAGTTTAAAGTATTTGGTAGCAGTGGAGATAGAGGCAGATGAAAATAGTTCAAGAAGACAAAAAGAAGATAGAAACTCTTAAAGGATTAAATAAGTAGGTAACTAAAAAATATTTATATTTGTCCCATATATGAATTATTCTTTTTCTTTTTTGATTATATATTTTATTGTCCTATTCACCAGGACAGTCTTCCAAGTAAATCTTCAAGTTAGAGAAGTTTACCTGTATTGATGTTTTCTCATTTTTTCCTTCAGATTCACATATATCCTGCCCATTAAAATTTGAGATCCAGAGGGAATACTTTCTAATCATGACATTTCAAATGCCATGAGGAGAAAAAAAAAAAAACAAACAAACAAAAAAATACAAAAAAAAACCACAACCGGAATATGCCTGTTTGTAAGACTAACAATGTAGCTCATTATTTTCAGTAATGATGTAACTATCTTTATCTCAAAACTATTCTAATAACTTTGGAGACTAATATAGGCTGCATGTTTTTACACAGGATGCCCAGCACCACTTCCACCACCTCCAGGTAAGAATACCTGCACTTAAAAACCAATCATTGTGCATTAATGATTCTTATAAATCAAATTTCAGAGGTCATGCTAATAAAATCACTATGAAAATGTTACAGAATAGGAAAAGTTAAAGTAGATGAATTTAACTTTTATTCACCAAATAGTGAGTAGTAGCCTGTTTTCTCCCATACAAACTAATGAAGCCAAACCAAACAAATATTATCAATCAGAATAGTTTACCTACTAAATAAAGCATTTCATGTTATTATATGATATCTTGATCAAAGTTTTGTCACTTGGTAACATCTTTAAGCTAGGTAATTCCAGCTTTTTTGAGGGCTGAATTATAGTGAGAAAAATTAAGGTTAAACAAAGTTTAAGAATTTTAGAAGATTTTGAGTTCTTACTATTCTCAAGCCAAAGTGATAAGCTTTGCAGAATGTAGCAAAATTTACCCAAAACATTCTTCACTGACCATAGAATATAGTGGGAGATGGGAGGTTTTCAAAGAAACATAGGTAATTTTTATATAAAGCTGAGAATAAATTTCACACTAAAAAACGTGAAATATGTAACAGAATTGTAATTTGAGAACAATATATAGACTAGTCCAGGGTATATAAATAAAAGAAGTAAGACAAGGTTGAGAAGGTAGATTGGAGACATATTAGGGCAGATCTGAGAAACTAGAATACTAAAATAAATAATATTTTACAAGACTATAAGGGGGATCTCAAAAGCTTTTAATCAAAGATATGATGAAATGAAAATTAGGCTTTAGGAAAATTATCCTAACTACAGTATAGAAAATTGACTGGATTGGAAAGAGGTCTGAATCAGAGTAACTCCTGAAAAAGCCAGAGTATGCTACATCATTGATAATAAGATCTTAGATTATTATATAACAAGTAGAATCAGGAAAGGAAGGAATTCATGTGAGGGTGAATATATAGGATTGCAGGATTGGATATCAAGTGATAGAAAGGAAGGAATCAAAATGACTCCTAAATTTTAAGCTTAAATGATTGAAAGAATAGTTTGGTTCTTAATAGGAAGATGCCAGTTTAGATGAGAAACTGGTTTTAGGGACAAGGTGATACAATATGCTTTTTTGCACGTTGAGCTTGAGGTTTTTATAAATTGGCCAGCATGCTGTTTGTTAGGCTGAGTGAGGTCTGGGACTCCCTCACACAAGATGTCTGGACTGGAGCAGGAAGTCTGACAGCTGTCTACTTGATATTACAGTGGACACTTGATATTATAGTGAGGGGAAATACCAGAGGAATGACTAGAGACAAAAATGAGAGGAAGGAGAAAGAGCTAATAAGAAAGGCATTTCAGAGTGTTGAATCTGAAGGAAGAAGAACATTTTCAAGATGAGAGTTACAAATGTCAGCTGTTGCAGGGATCTTGAAAAACTGAGAAGGCCCTTAAGATTGATAATTATAAAGTCTTGGTGACTTGTAGAATTATGGAAGCAGGAGTCAGATTGTAAAATAGAAAGTAAAACAGTAGCCATAAGATTTATTGACCACTGTCTGGGGAAATTAAGAATTCTCCTTTGTAGGGGCTTGTAAAAATATGAAATATATAACAGCTTATTAGAGAAATTTTGATAAAAGTAAGCAGATATGATTTTCCTACCTTAAAGCATCATTGAATCCTCCATAATTCTGTGTCTCCGGAATCCTAGTGCTAATTACAGTATTGTCCACCTGGTGGTTATCTACAAACAACAGATGGTTATATTTTGCCAAATTTAATTAGCATTTATCATTTCATGTTAACAGTTTGCCATGGCCCACTGGGAGAAGAGAAATCTGTATGTACATAGTTTTTCTCTACTGCAATCCAAATTTGCTGTCATTCCTGTACTTGAGTAGAAGTCTAACCTTGGTTTGTTTCTGAAGCCTGGAGACATCTGGACTGCTAATTGCCACAAATGCACCTGTACTAATGCAAATGCTGTGGACTGTAAGCCCAAGGAGTGCCCTTCTCCACCCACATGCAAGACTGGAGAGAGGCTTGTAAAGTTCAAAGATAACGACACCTGCTGTGAAATTGGATACTGTGGTGTGTATTCATAACATATTGCTTGAATTGAATAGTTATTTCCTTACTCCCGTATTTCAGAGATATTTATTGAGCTACTAGTATGTATCAAACACTATGCTAGATAGATGTGGTAAATAAAACAGAATGAGTACTTGCCTTCTTAAAATTTACTGTCTTTGGTGCAGGGGAATCAGAATGAACAGTTATGAATATAATCAGCATAATAAAGGGGTATGATGGTGTTATGGGAAGAACATTATAATTGGCTGATATGTACAATAAAATTTCTGTTTTATCAATAAAAAAGAATTATAATGTTTATTTTAGGATAAAATAATGTGTTTTTTTTTTCAGAACCAAGAACATGTTTATTTAACAATATCAACTATGAGGTAAGGTTGTTTCTACTTTTTCTATTTTTATTAATATAATTATGAACAAATGCAGGCTCTTTCAGTGTATGACATGAAATTTTCATAGGTAATGGTGGGGCAGAATTAGTTCATTTTTTTCCTATATTCAATTTTCAAAAGGAATATCAAATGTAACACTCAGCATGGCTCCCTTCAAAGGGAGAAAATATACTTGATCATTAACTACCTAGCAATGGAGCTTCTGAAAATATTTCCCATGGGTCTTGCCAGATGGAGAAGACACACTTTGTAACATTCAAATCAATGAACAGAGTTAAACTGTAATTATAACCAGAAAGATCAGATGGCCAAACTGTCAGAGATCAAAAAAGAAAACCCCAAAGATTAGAATGTCCTTATGTGAATATAGCAATACGGTATATTCAAGGGTAGGTTTTGACAACTGATTTGGCACTTTGGAAAGTAATTTAACTTTTTATAAAAAGTATCAGGAAGCTATAAAAACCGGTTGATTCTCAAACTGACTTTAATACATTTGAATTGGTGATAATATTTAAAAAATCTGAAATAAAATACTCATATATGTGATATGTTAGGAGAGACATAAAAACAAAGCCTATGAGAGTTTCAATTTGGTGACTCATTTATCACACCCAATTTTTAGTTTTTTTAAAGTTTTTTTGTGTCCACAGGTGACTTAACGAGAATTTATAACAGTTTTTAAACACAAAATATGATGATGTTTAAAGAACAAAGGAAATATTTTACCTCTATTCATTTATATGCAACATAATTGAAATAACATTCTAGTTTACCAGAAAGTTCATTTTGTGGTTCAAGGTCCTAAAAGAAATACAGTTTCCCAAACTGGTGTTTGAATTTTGAACATGAATTAATTATAAAGCAATCTAGAGAACTTTAAAAGTATAGGAACACAAGCAAAGATAGAAGTAAGTTGTCACTTGTCATTTTTGATAAACCTAAGCCTACTTTATGCCCATTTTTCCTATTTGGATTTCTTATTTGTTTTCCCTTAAACTTATAACAATTGGTCAATTCACTGCCACAAGTAAAATAAACTTTCTTGAAAATATTTAAAAAGTATGAAGGAGTAACAATATGTGAATTTTAATTTGAGAACCTTGACTCATCCTGTGCTCTCAGTAAGGAACTTTGATTTATACATGGAAGTGGAAGGCTTTCCATCCACCTTTTCTGAAATATTAACCTAATGGCTGAAAGTGCCTCTGGAAATTCACTAAACATCAAGAATTTGAATTTTTAACAGGTTTTATTATCAACCTCAAGAAGAAATCAAGATAAATAATTACTTTGTTCTCTCACCCTCCCTTCCACCCAGATTGGTGATTCATTTGGGGACCCCAACAACCCATGTGTCACCTATTCTTGTGACAGGACTGGTTTCATTGCAGTGGTTCAAAACTGCCCACATCAGACCTGGTGTGCGGAAGTAAGTCATCTTCTCAAGTAGTAAACAACAAGACTCACTTCTCATATTCAGTGCAAACACAACCTGTCTTCTTTCGTATTTGGTAAAGTTTCAGCCTGGCCAATAGACCTCTTACAGATTTCATTCCAGATATTTCATCCACCTTTTATTGTCAAGTATATTTTTCATAGCAAAAATATATTTTCAGTCTCCATAAAACTTAATATAGTGCTATTCTAGAAGAAGTAAAATACTGTAGAAAACATTGCTATTTTTAACAAAAAACCTAGTTTGTTTTCAAGGCTTATGGAGTCAGGTTACTAGTTTTCTATAAAAATACAAAATTTTCATGGAATTCCATGTGTGTGTACTGGTCATATTTTTCTTTGTGCTACAGTCTTCATTTTTATCCCCCCAAATGTGGTGAAGGCTTTGTATTAATGAATGTTTACATTTGTTATTAAGGAAGATTTAAGCTCAATTCATTTTTCTTTCTGAAGGTGTAATTTATAATATAGTTTAAAGCTTTATTTTACTACTCCAGTATTGGATTTCAACATTTATTGTGCTTTTACTCTGGTACATTGATATGTTTAAGGGTGTAATAATGTGTAAGGCAAAAATCCCTGCCTGCGAGAAACTTACAGTGTCTAGTAGTAATGTCATTGTTAAAGTATTTTTCAGTTAAAATTAGTAAGGGATAATTTTTTATTTCTTTGCATTTTATTTTGGAGAAAAATTTGGTTTAAATATTGTTTTTCCCTTTTGATTCACTATAGCAAAAGTCAGTGTAAATACTCAGGCTCATTCGTGTTACCATGCTCTCCCATTCATGCTTACTGCATCTGAGATCCACTTGTTCATCTACTCCATTTCCTGCTGTGTGATACTATTTCAATAATAAGAAATGTTATATTACTTGTAGAAAAATATGGAAAATTTTCAAGTCTTTTTTCTTTTTCTCTCACCTATATAGGCAGACAGAGTCTATGATTCAAAAAAATGTTGCTATACATGTAAGTAAAATTAAGTTCCACATGTAGAGAAAATGTAAACTCTTGAAAATAAATAACTTCTTTAAAACAAAATGGCAGATCATTAAGAGAATGTCTCCTGTGTTAGTAACTCAACAGGTATTCTAATCCGTTCAATATATGCATAAGTAACAATGTATATTTGCACCTAATGTACTAGACCGTTATTTATGTTGGTTGCAACATTCCCCTAGTAAAAACCAGTCATGTTTACAAGAAAGAAAATTTAATTTTCCTGAAAAATATTTTAGCTTGCTCTCCTAACCTCAGCAGTTTATGTTGTAAATTGCTATATAATATTATAAGGATGATCAGCAGTGAACAAAAGGATGTCAAAAACAACCCTCTATCTTTTTTGCTGCTTCTTTACCTCCATTCTCCCCTGTTCCCCTCTTCCTCCTCCATCTATTCTCTTCTCCTATGGTAGTGATAATAGCAACAATAATAAAATAACATTTATTTAGTATTAAACAGTTACCTAGTGCTGGGTGCTGAAATAGTTAATCTTGTCAATAATATTGTGAAATAGTTATTACTATTCTCTAATTATGATTAAGAAAACTGAGACTTAGCAATTATTAATGTTAAACCTTTCTGACTCTCTGATCTGCTTTGTTTTAGGTAACACTAATTGCAGGTCTTCACTCGTGAATGTCACTGTTAAGTACAATGGTTGCAAGAAAAAAATTGAGATGGCAAGATGTGTAGGGGAATGCAAAAAGACCATCAGGTGAGTTTTCCTTTGAATGTGTGCTGTGCATTAATTTTGTAACATTGTGGAGGCAATAAAGCTTTGAAAACATTACATGGAAAAATTTTGATACAACAGCTAATGATGAGGACCTTAATATGTAAAATATTAAGATCTAAAATATAAACATTTCTAAAAGTGATTATTCATTTTGAAGTAGCTTTCTATGTATGAGAAACATAATGCATTTATGGCAAACATATTTTTGTACAATGAATACAGAGAGTAACTTAAGTAAACACTCTTGCTAGAAGTTCGTTTTTAAACCGTTGCATGGCCCTGACTGGTGTGGCTCAGTGGATTGAGTGCCAGCCTGTGAACTAAAAGGTCTCTGTTTTGATTCCAGTTAGGATGTATGTCTGGGTTGCAGACCAGGTCCCCATTTGGGGGCATAGCAGAGGCAACCACACATGCATGTTTCTCTTCGTCTCTTTTTCCCTTCCTTCCCCTCCTCTAAAAATAAGTAAATAAATAAGTCTTAAAAAACTGTTGCATGTTTTTTAGATATAACATATTACTTTTTCCCCTTTATGTACACTTTCACATATAAATTAATTTATGGAGAATAATAATTTGGTTTTAAGTTGTATATTTAAAAATTTCTGTGTTTTTTTAGTTACATAATTCTCTAATTATATTATAAACTTCCATTTTGAATTTTTTCCCCCTTTCTTTTGATCTTACCTACCACATCAGAAATTTGTAGAGAAGGGAAAATACAGTACAGGTGTAGGAAAAAATAAATTGGTTGGGAGGCTTGGTCAATCACTTAGACAATTAGAAGTTGAGCATTGATGTCAATTTATTTCAAAAGACACTCCAAAAATATTTATTTCTGAATTTTTTTAGGTACAATTATAACATCTTTCAGTTGGAAAATTCCTGCCTTTGCTGCCAAGATGAAAGCTACGAGTTCAGAGAAATTGTTCTTGACTGTCCTGGTGGCAGTACAATAGCTTACAGATACAGGCACATCACAAAGTGTTCTTGCTTAAACAAGTGCTATGCATCTACATCCTCAAGTGCCTCTTAATGTTAACATTACCTTTCTAGTTATAACTTGCGGGTATTTATTTTACAAGTAAGGAAAAAATAATCACTCAGTTGTGAGACTAAAGATTTGTATCTCAATCAAAAAGTGAATTCTCATTATAAGTCATTTTGTTCTGTTGTTGACTTGATCTGTAAAAATAAATAAAATTTTGCAAGCAATTAGTGAGTACATGTATTTATTTTATAGCACCAAGAATTCTGCAAGTCAAAGAGAAACTGAGTCTTATCATACTCTCCAATATACCCATATTCTACTCTGTGTCTCATGAGGCCATTCCCTGTTTTGTTCCTTCCCGTCACAGTTAAACTTATTGGAAATGGAGTCTTTGTCCTTTTTCTCTCACTTCTTCATGGCAGTTACATCACCCCTTTCATTCTACTGCAACTCCCTCTGCTTAGGACATCAGGGACTTCCTTATAATTCTTTCCATAGGATTTGACATCATTTCCACTCTTCCTTTCTTGAATCATTTTTCTTGCTGTTTCTGTTCCATCATTTTTAATTAACACACCTACATTTTGTGGACAGCTTCCCTTTTGCCAGTCCTTTAACGCTCAGTTTTCCAAAGTTGCATCCTGTTCCTCTTCTCATTTTACTCAGGTTTCTTAGATGATTTCATCAACACAGGTAGATGTGTTTATACACTGAGGATTTCTCATCTATACATACAGTCTGAACCTCTTCTCTGAATTACAGGCATTGATACAACTTGAGGAGAGGAGAGTATATAGTTCATCCAATCAGATAAGTGAAAGAAATAAGAATGAAAGGGTAAAAGTAGCTTAAGGGACTTAGGTAACAATGTTAAGAGAGCCAATATACACATTACATGGGTCCTAGAAGAAGAAGAGAGAGGGAAAGGGACAAAAAGTTTATTTGAAGAAATAATGGCTGAAAACTTCCCTAACATGGGGAGAGAAAGAGAGATCCAGGCTCAGGAACCTAGATATTTCCAAGTAAGAGGAATTCAAAGAGACTCCTATTTGACAATTTATACTTAATATAATTTATGATTAAACTGTCAAACGTTAAGAGGAGAGAATCTTAAAAGCAGCTAGAGAAAAGCATCTTTCTCTCTCTTTCTCTCTCTCAGTCTGAAATTCTGCTATTTAATAATAAATTTTTCCTCTTCAATCCATTGTCTGCCTTGAATTCCAAACACATTTTGGCTCAGTCAGGTACTTTTGTTAAAGTAGTATGTGGCTTAGGTAACACAGGCCCCCAAAAGTATTTTGGTTTCTCTAGCAGGGATGTCCAACTTTTTGGAATCTCTGGGCTATACTGGTAGAAAAAGAGTTGTCTTGGACCACACATTGAATATACAAACACTAACAGAAACAAACAAATAATCTCATAATATTTTAAGTAAACTTACAATTTTGTGTTGGGTCGCTTTCATGGCTGTCCTGGGCCACATGCAGTTGGCAGGTCACAGATTGGACACTGGTCCCCTGTCAGAGAATGTTCAGGAAATTTCTTAACTGCTACATATTATTCATGGGCATTAAAGAGTTGTCCACCCATATTCCTTGATTCCCATGGGCTCAGTAGTCTTATGACAAAGAACATGAGCCTTCCATGAGGGCTTCAGTCATAAACAGATCTGTCTTTCCATGCATTATGTTCAATTAGATTAGAGATTGAGCTCATAATAATGCCAGAATCCTCACAAAGCATCAGTCATTACTTCTTACGAAGGTTATGAGAGAGTTACATGCTTTAGGAATAATGAGAAGGGACATTATTAGCTGCCTTTATGCTGTTAGTCAGGCTTGGCCTGGGGGTATATGTGAAATAGACCCTCCTCTTTGGATGGGAATAGAGGTCAGGTAAGGCGGCAGTGTTTTCAGGTCTTCTCAAATCTCTACTTTTTGAGTTGATTCAGTGGTCTTAATACCAAGTCCTTTGGTCAACTAGGGTATGGCTGTCTCAGAAAAGAAAATAAATAAATGGAAGTACTACTAGTATATTTATGTAGCTGTTCCCTAAGGTTTTGCTCTGTGCCTATGTATCCATCTTGTTCTAACAATAAAATGAGCATTTTAGTTGTTATCCTCACAACCTTCTCTAATTTAAAAGTATGAAAGATACAGTTTAGGTTGCTATTAAGGTCTCATAATACATTCGGCTGAGAATTTACCTGTTGCATTTTGCTTCTCAAATCATATTCAGCTGTATAATCTAATCTGATACTCCAGTGAGTACTAAGTAATACACATAATATTGATTCCTTCAGCAAATATTTACTGAACAGCTGCATTTTAGGTGCTGGAGATACAAAAATTTATAAACAGATAAGATTACCTATATAGAGTTTACATTCTGGTTGAGTGGGAGTATAACAGGAAAATAAATAAATTTTTAGGGGCTGTAAGGAAAGTGAAACTGATTGTTAGGAGAGAGAATGAGAGCAGCATGAAGAAGCTACTTAACACTGTGCTATTAGTGTATCAGGACAGGCTGGGATATGCTGTAGTAATAGATTAACTCCACAACTGTGGTGCCTTATAAAAACAAAGGTTTGTTTCTCACTCATGCTGAGTCCAGCTTGGGTTTGTAAACGCTCCAAGAGAGCAATCCTTCATATAGCGCCTCAGCAGTCCAAGCTACTTTAATGTTGTGGTTGCCTTTTCACCATGAGACATTTCTAATTGTGACAGTGAGAGAAGAAGGGAGGTTCAGATATTGAGCAGGACGTCCCACTGACTCAACCTAGAAATGACACATTTTATTTTGTTCATGGTCCACTAATCAGAACTGGTCAAATATCCTTACCACATTGCAATAGAGTTTGAGAGTATACACTTCCATGTGTCCAGCAAAGAGAGGAAGCGTTGTTTACCACACCTGGGATGGTCTCTCTGAGATCTGAAATTAAAAAGCCAGCTATTTGAAGCTAACTCTGAGAAACATTGTAGGCAGAAGAGACAGGTGGAGCAAGTGTCCTAAAGTAGGAACAGAAAGAAGACCAGTGCACTAAGGGAAGAATGGTATGAGACTGTGTCAAAGAGGAAATCAAGGGACTGATCACATAGGGCACAAAAAAACAAGTAGTTTGGTTTTATTATAAATAGGATAAAAAGTCTTTGAAGATGTTTAGAAAAGGAATGACATGTTTTGATTTGTATTTTAAAAGGACAGGCTGTCTGATACATAGATACTTGCATGAAGGCAAAAGTGGAAACAGGGTATTTATTGCAAGTATTCACATAAGAAATAGCAGTGGTTTCACCTTGTGTAGTGTGGTAGATCGCAAAATGGCCACAAATTCCTTCCATCCCATTATGCGCAACCTTGTCACAAGGATTTACTTTTCTTCCCATCAAAAAGTAGAGTCTATTTCTCCAGTCCTTGAATCTAGGTTAGGCTTGGTGACTTGCTTTGGTGACACAACAGGGGCTTGGAACAAAACAAAACAAAACAAAACAAAACAAAACTGGCTTATTGGAGTTTTGCTATTCTGACCCTGGAAATTCTTTACTATCGTGTGAGCCAAGTCCCAGACTGTCATCATTGAAGATGAAAGATCCTAAGGACAGAGGTTTCAGTCATCCCAACCATCCCAGCCACCTCAAGTAAAAACCTCAGTGTTTGAGACTACTCAGTTTTGGGATGTTTTTAATGCATCAGAAGTTAACTAATGGTTGGCAGCTGGTAGCAGCAGCAGCAGTAGTGGTAGTGGTAGCATTGGTAGTAGTAATAGTAGTACTAAGTGACAATGGGAAAAAGTGAATAAATTTAGAAGAAATAAATTCTAAGTAACAGAATACATTTAGAATTCATTCTGTTACTTAGAAACAGAGTAAGAGAACTAGGGAATGAAAGATAACTATTAGGTATACTTAATCATTTATTAAGATGAGTAAGTCATTGATAAGTAAGGGATAGGCCACTTAAAAGATTACTCACAATACTGACAGTGTGAAATTTTCTGAATTTACACAATATTTACTCTTTTGCATTATATGTTTTCAATGGAAACCATACTCTCTCATAGCAAAATTAAGAGATAAGCAGTTGCAAGATATGTAATATAAATATAAGGTCAAATAATTAGGCAAAACCCCTGTATTTTTATGCATTTTCATTAGAAAGATCAGTATGACATCATAATTTATTTTTCTCATTCTAAAAATATGTATATCTAGTAGCTTTTTCTATTCAATTGTCTAGAGGGAATAACAACCAGTAGAAACAAAAACCATTGTGCACAGATATTCAGTCTCAAACACTTTCCACTGAAAGAAACCAGGTCTCCTTAGACAAATGGTTGATTTGTCATGTAGGCAGTAAATCTGATATATCTTGTCATCTCTGAAAGCAAGGAAACTATAAAAAACTCTTGAGATCATACTGCGGTAAAAAAGCACAGAAGTAAGTTTAGAAGTACTCATAATGGCAAAAGATAAATGTGAGCATTAAAATAATGATTATTTAAATTCATGGAAACATATCAAAGATACATATTAAAATACATACATTTATAATGATACTAAAAAGAAAAAAATCTCCTTAACTACTTTTCAGATAGTTGTTAGATAGCAATTGTTTTTTCCTAAAATTTGAAAAAGGGAAAGAATTAAACATTTGCCCAGCCACTACTATACGTGTATATAAGATAACCAAATAGCTAATGAGAAGAATTTCTTTTTTTTATACAAACTAATACATGTAGGAGAAACAATAACATTCAAAGATAACTATTTATAACTCTTAACTAAATAAGAGGCAACCATAACCAATGCTCCATTAAACCATTATATAAAAGGTTATGGATGATATTACAAAGGCTAAAACCTCTTGGTCCATTTTTTTTTTTTTTGGTCCATTAATGTTACTAACAGTGAATAAAATAGAAATTATGCTTACTGATTCAACAGCTAAAAAGAGTACTAATTATAAACTATTCTTGGTGTATTGTCAAAAATCTAGAAATAGCAAAATTAAAACCACCAACTCAACAAATAGTATTTAGTAAAAGTTTGTTATGCACTTAAGAACAGTTTGTGAACTAAGAGGTTTTAATTTTAAAACTGGTGTGCAGCTTAGGGCACGATGTTACAGGACAGCTTATAAAGTGTAAATTAAGGAATTTTTAACCTTTTTAATGATTGGTTTTTACAATGAAGGTTTTCAGATAGCAGGGGATTGGCTAAAAGTG